CTGTCAAAATCGATTGAAGTCGTTAGGCCCTATTTGTATAATGACTGATCCAAATTGATCCCATTTCTGTGTTTTTTTACCTCGATATTTAATCATGTCATGTAAAAATCTGTTTGTATTCTCAAAACAGTGCCGGCCCATAAGTTTTCACATGCAATACAGCAATTAATACTCCCTTGTTGTAACCCGTGTTAGGTGGTATAAACCTACACATGTTATTTGTCATCATTCACTTGATGGTCAGTTAATGAATTTATAACAGGTATAATTAGTGGTAACACACTTAGATTACCCGACAAAGGTTCCCATCTGGCATTTCTTGTGTCTGGAGTAAATATTCAACATTATAAACATCGATCAAAGGATTAACTGATAACACGCTGATTGATTAATTACTTTTATCTTACACAGCGGAATTGTCAAAAGGTAGTGTTTATGTGTGTAGATTTACTAATCTATACTGAATACACTCTGTCGTGTCGGTGTCTGCGTAAAAACAACGTCCATCTTTCAAAGGATTAACCGGCAATACATTGATTGATTGCCCATTATTGGCTAACTTAATTATTGTTTTTAAAGAAAGGCGGACATTATGCAATTAGTTGCCAGGTGTGCTATCTTGGGTGACCAATGAGACTATACACCAATACCTGAAAAGATTTATCTCTTTTTCGTATATTAAACTGTTAAAAGACACATCATTTGGAACAGTTTTGTGGATATTGATGGATACTTTCCTCGAACAAGGTAATGGCCTGATATTGTTCCTATAACTTTAATCTGTTTTAATTTTAATATTTGCATTTTGTTTTTATTCATTTGTCGTAGCACTCAACAGAATCATTGTTTTCGCCGTGAAGTGTAATGAGACAGACAACACTAGGGTGAGTGTGTGAATTATTATTCACATTGGCAAACTATAAAATGTCTAGATATTACAGTTCTGTTATAAATTCACTATAAGTATCAGCAGATCGTCTGCTTTGTATTTAGTTTCAAAATGCATACAAGTATGAGAATAAACTAATTAGGATTATAAGACCAAATATAAAGACGCACATTGACTAGTATCTACATACTGGTGAGTGGACATTAACCATGTGAATGTAGCAAGAAATTTATCGCGCAGTATTGTGACTTCGACCCCCACCTCGCTTCCGTGGAAGAAATCGTTATGTTATAAGTTGTGTCATGCAAAATCCGTTTGGTTATGATTCCAATACATATTTAACTACGAGTAGAAAGTAGTTTTGATTTTCTAACTTGATGAAAACAAACTATAATCTCATTAATTCTAACAGACTTTACGATTTTCAAAAATGGCGGCGCCCTGTCGGGAACATCCGCCAGTCTGAGGATAAATGCTATTTAGGTTTGTTTTCACCGAGTTACAAAATCAAAACTACTTTCTACTGGTAGTAAAATATGTATTTTATTGATGGCCAATGGGATTTTGCATGACATAGCTCATAACATAACAATTTCTCTCCTGGCAGCGAGGTGGGTGTCAATATAATACCACTTACAATATTATTGTTACTTCGACCACAAGCTCACTTCCGAGGAAGAAATCGTTATGTTACAAGTTGTGTCATGGAAAATCTTTATGGTCATCAATCATCTACATATTTTACTACAACTAGTAAGTAGTTTTGATTCTTTAACTTCCGTGAAGCGATCACAAGTAAGATATCGTTTCAGGCTTCCACAACGCTCGCTTCGCACTCACAAACATAACCCATTTAGCACGAACTGCGGGGTCCTGTGGAAATCTGTGCATGGTGACACCATCGCCCGACCCCTAGGAGCAATTGACGACAAAGCAACGATTCGGCATGTCGTCGTTGATGTCGAGAAATCATCAAAATGATGAGCGTGCTACACACTTTCTATACAACTAACTGAAAATCGTTCCTCATATGACGTCACTGCAGTGCTCTGGCGACAGAGTTACGTAACCTGTCTGTGGTTTCGTTTGCGGGCGAGAGTGAAGCAGGCGACTTTTTGGCCACTTTTAATCGCTCGGTATTAATTAACCACAAGTTTTTAAAGAATAAATTTGGTGTTCCGCATAAGACTAACTACAAATCTCTCATATGTAATGGTTAAAAGAGTAACAAAAAAACAAAGTTTAGTGGTTCTTTAATAAAACATTTATCATTTTATCCTCCACAATTATTAGGGAACCTCACTATCACATTACTTTCGATTACATGATTCAAACTCAATTACAATTATGTTCAGCCCCAAACATAACATACACAAACAAATTCTAACTAATTAATAGAATCAAGCTCTTGGGTTTTGGAGTCCACTATTGCATTGAGTAAACAGTAGCTTGTTTTCTTTGGACAGAATAATTTTAATGTTGCTATAGTTAACAAATACAAACAGCACCTACCTTTCCCTTCACAGACGAGTTCAATTCGCCGCTCGTCCCATGCCGGATTACGCTGTGTCTTCCGAGGAACGAAGAAGTGCGATTTTAAATCGATTATGGTACAGTTAGATGAATGTTAGGCCGAATTGATTGTCTCTAAATCTCAGTTGAAAACGATCGCGTACCCTAAATCCATAGTAAACGAATTATTGATGTCCAGCTTTTGATTGCTTAACAAAAGGCCAATTGTTAATGGTCATTGGACTCTGACGGCTGCATAACATGTTGCTGTTTGTTGAATTGGTATGTTTTGTGTAACGCTACTTCTTCTTCTTCTCCTTCTTCTTTTTTCTTCTTCTTCTTGATGATGCTGTTTGTTTTATTTGGGGTTGTTGTTGTTTTGTCATTTTTATGTGTCTGGGTTTTTTTTAATTTGGGTGTGAGGTGGGGGGTTGCAGTTGTTGTTATTATTTATTTTTTGTTGAACATCATGTGTGAAAGAGAAGTACAAAATTGCTGTTGCAAGATGCATTTTATTCCAGTACAGCTATGTAAAATAGGTAACAGTACAGACTGGGTATAAAATCTACAATAGTCAATCACTAATTTGTTCTTGGATGAATAATTTTGACAACGGCTTCAGTATTGCTGCAGACCAGTATCAGCATTTCATAATGTGTTCATCATTTACAAGCATTTATTTTACTTCAATAAGAAAACAAGTTTGCAAAAGAAATTCCATTCCAGTGTGAAATTTCAATTTTACATAGTATGGTTATTAGGTTCGTACCTCAAAAATGCAAACATTATTGAAAACACGGTGATATTCTATTCATTACATTGTTCATGAAATTCAAGAAAACAAGGATGCAAAATTTCAATGCTATCCCAAAGAATATGGGTCACTACGTTCGTACCTCAATAAATACAAACATAATTAAAGTCCGATCCTAAATACATTGACTGTGGCCAATACGACATTGCCTATACATACAAACAAAGCAGGTATAGACAGATTATGTAAACATGTTATTAAATAATGTAATGAGTATCGACATTGTGATTAACACCAAACACAAAACAAAGCAATATTCCAGCTAAATGACGACGGTGTGTGAATAACTGATGCTTAGTTGGGCTTTAGAAACATTATGGCAATAATCACAATGCCAATTATCTGAACAGACGATAAACAAAGTATTTGTTCTTGTACTGTGCAGAAATCAACATGATATATGTTCATATAAGTGAGGGGAGGTGGGGGTAGCCTAGTGGTTAAAGCGTTCGCTCGTCACGCCGAAGACTCGGGTTCGATTCCCCACATGGGTACAATGTGTGAAACCCATTTCTGGTGTCCCCCGCCGTGATATTGCTGGAATATTGCTAAAAGCGGCGTAAAACCAAACTCAGTCAGTCAGTCACTCTAAGCAGACATGGGGTAACTGTTATTTGTAATTGTAATTGAATGTAATTAATTATAAAAATCTATGTAATTGCATGTAATTTGTAATTGAATGTTCAAAATGTAAATTGTAATTTTATCAATTAATATCTCAATGTAATTGAATTTTTCAATTACTTTTTCAATTACATCAAATTACATCTCACTTTTTTATTTTGGTGGTCATCAGGCAACCCTTGCAACTATATTCTGTACAATAGGAGGACAAAGCAGTGTTTTTCAATAAGATGCTTGTTGTCGGTATATACTCTAGCAGGTGTTAAGTTTTGAAAGAGATTTGAATGTCTAAGCCTTTGTAACTATCACCATCTGCACATTTGTGAAACAAAGGGAACCAGTAACGCATGACTGAATGTAGGTTGGTATTTGAGGAAATGGGGGATTAACAGTACTATTAGTCAAGTTCCTATCAAAATGGCCTCTTTGTTTATTTATTGTTCTTCTTCTTCTTCTTAATGGTGTTGGTTAACGCCGCACTCAGCAATATTCCAGCTATAAGGCGGTGATCTGTAAGTAATCGAATCTGGACCAGACAAACCAGTGATCAACACCATTAGCATAAATCTATACAACTAGGATAAGATGACATGTGTCACCTCTCGCGATAAGCATGGTTTGGTGAAGACCAATTCTAAGCCTGATCTGTGAAGCAGGTGCCTCAGTTTAGACACTCAACTTTGACATAATCTGGAAATTCGTGATTACACGTGTACTAAGCCTGAAAACATATTTCCGACGCTGGAAAACTGACATATTTGTATCTACTGCAAACCTAATCCTGTGTGTGTCAATATATTTTATCCAATTATACTCTTTTCTTACAGACTGATTTCACAACAATTTAGTTTCTGGGTTACATCAACAGATACAGTGACAATGCAGAGCTTCAAACCCTAAGAGAGAATACAAATTTGTGATTCAGGATCCAAGGGCGGGTCCTGAAACCTCCCTAAAACCAATACATAATTGCAAATTGCGTTCTCAGAAAAGTCACTGAAAACGATATGTTTATACCTACTTATGAGATTTGTAACGAAATTTTATTTTTATTTTTCATATGAATCCAGTTTGGCTCAAGATGTAGAAGTTTTGTCGTGACAGCCTCACATGAGTTATAAAAGCCTGAGTCACGAGACCAATGCGTCACAGGTGGCAGGTGGGTGACAAGGAACGGTAACTCTTCTTGTTTTTGCAGAATATCTCTCGGATTCTTGACCCTTCATCGCGTGAGAAAACGACGTTGTCATCCATGATATCCCTCCTGTTTCCACAAATCGGCTGACTCTTAGTAATTGCCAAATTCTGTCGGTACAGCCTTTCCTTCAGCGAGCACTGAAACAGACGAGGTACATTTGTTTAATGTAAGACAAGAAATGGATTCTTACAATTACCAGTTTCAACATATTCAGTGTAACTCGCTCCCTTTAGTTCACGGTGAATTAGCAGCTATGAAAGAGACAACTTACCACAGCCTCATGCAAATTGTTTACTACAAACAAAAAGTTTGGGAACACCCTAAAATTTGATAGTCATATATAAACTTAAACATGGTGAGGTTATTTGTACTCTAAGGTAAATGAAACTTTTGTGTGCTTAAGGGTCACATTAAACGACATGTTAGAACATGCAGTGAAGCAACTGATTCAATATTCGTTGAGTTTGAGTGAAATGAAACATTGTCAAACAAGGGTGCTGAAACACACCAGCACCATGCTTAATGCAAACGCCCAAACACAACAGCTTAGTGCATGTTGAAGACAAACTTTCCATACAGCTTGTGGCAACATTGCTGAAGCTCCGCTCGTTCATGGGTAAAATATGTGAAGCTTATGTCTGGTGTCCCCGCCGTGAAATTGCTGGAACATTGGTGAAACGGCGTCAAAATAAACTCGCCGACTCATATTTGTGGCCATACCTGCTTTTGTTAATGTATCACGTAGCGTGTTAACGTGATTAACGCCTTGGTAATACAGTACTCACGGTCGTTGTGGTTGTAGTACAGACGTAGACTCTGGGCTGGACGACAGCCCCCGCACCAACCTCCACACAGCAGATCGATCACAGCGCCCTCTTGGGAGCGAGTCACACTGGTATAAGGCCGCCAATCGAACCCTACCCATTTGGCCTGGGTACAACAATTCAAACTTAATTTCAAACAAACGAATAACAAGATACTAGATGTTCACAAAAAGGTGGTGCGTAGTCCAAAACATTCAAAGTCAATTTAAATCTATCCAACCTTTTTAATCGTAGAATATGTGTCTTATTGATGTATGGCTAGATGTGTCTAAACTGCTAACGGCTGAAGGGATGGCGTAAATCCAGCTAGGCTCCATGCGGGAAGCAAATGTACTGTAAGTCCCCATGGTCCCTAGTATGGTGATCTACCTTCAGTTGTTGGTAGTCTATAGCCTGTTTTTATATTGTATTGTTATTTCTAGTTAACATGTTATAGATTTAATTACTGGTTTTAAATGGATATCTGTGATACACTAGTAGTTTTACTGTTGTTCGTCAACAGGTTTTAATTACTAATTTGATTGATATATGATATAATCATCAATAGTTCTCGTCACGATATGGCTGAAATATTGCCGATGTGACGATAAATATACCCTCTAAGGAGGACAATAATTGTACAGTACTATAACCCCCCTTTGAGGATACAGTCACTAACAATCTGAGTTACTAATTTAAACTTCCAATCATAAAATATATTTATCTATTTACAAATCACTTTAAAATGGATTTCCTTTAAAAATGCTATAACTAAATGAGAACTAATATTACTAAAATGATCCTTCATAGTTCGTGACGTGAAATAGTTATCCCTTGTGATGGAATATTCAATACAGTCAAGCAGGACATGCTTGACCATGATTCTTTCAAGAATACAAAACGGAGCTTCTTCACCTTTTAACAGGTATGCATGAGTATATCTTGTGTGGCCAATGCGACATCGTCGCATGATGACCTCTTCAAATCTGGACTGACAACCCAAGTAGGTGTAACCGATAACTGGTTTAAATGCATGTAATTTATTAATACCTACTTGGGTGTCCCACTTCTTCTGCATCAGATCATGGATGTACGATCTAATGGTAGCTTTGTAGTCGGAGTATGGGGGATCAGAAGTGGTGTCACAGATTTGCTAAGTGCTGCCAATATGTGACCACAGATTCCAACATGGCTGGGTAAGCAACAGAGGGCGATGTGGTATTGGCCAGTAGCACGCTCATTATATAATTCAATTATTTCGATTAAAACTGGATGTTTGCAAGAGAGATTTTTTGTAGCCAGGGGGCAGGAAAGAGAGCCAGAAAAGATGATATATTATTTATGTTTAGGGTTGTCTTTGAGAATATTTTAAGAGCCGTTAATATGGCGTTTGCTTCTGCTGTAAAAATAGAGCTATTATCCGGTATTCTAGACGATATTGTTCTGGAGCCTATGACAGTGGCACAAGCCACTGCGCCACCATCCTTGGAGCCATCTGTACATAAGGATTTATATGTATTATAGTTACTTTTTAATTGATTAAATTCTTGTTTATATTGTAATTCATTAGTTTCTGTTTTTTTAAATGCGGTTAATGTTAGGTCAACTTGTAGCCTAACCAATTGCCAGGGAGTAGAAAGAAGACGAGAAGGAGATACATTTTCCTGCTCAATGCCGGCAGCAGAAATGATTGGTTTAATTCTGAGCCCAAGAGGCGGAACAAGAGAAGATATCCTGTTGTATAAATCCTCATAGAGGGGATTCAAGACACAGGTATATGCAGGATTAGATTCGTTAGAGTATAGCTTTGTAATATATTGTAACGATAATTTTATTCGGCGTTGTGTAAGAGAAGGCTCATCTGCCTCGACATAGATACTGTCAACAGGTGAAGTTCTGAAGGATCCAAGACATAGTCTTAGGCCTTGATGGAGTACAGAATCAAAACTTTTAAGGTTGCTTTTGCAGGCTCCACCATATATGATGGAGCCATAATCAAGTTTGAACGGAGAAAGGTGTTAGAGAAATGGTGTGCGTATCCTGTAAAATCTGGCAGCAAGATCACAAACACTTGCAAAAGAAAGTCAATTGTTTATCAGAAAAACTCATAGCCTACAACTAGATATTGAAGACAACCAGGGACAACCTGGACTCTTGGTCTGGACAATTCATCTATGCTAAACAGAAGCTTACATTTATGTCGACGATCAAGCCAGTTCCACGCGTGTCAACCGTGAATGTTCCCACAGGACCACACGGTGCCGAACCGTAGTAGTTGTTGTAGCAGTCCACGGCTTGAGCGTAAGGATGACGGTTTTCTTCCCAAGTTGCGAAGGTGAAGTCGTCTAGAACCACCGACATCGTCTGGGGAAAGACATAAAAGTAGTTCCCTGTCATCCTACCCCTACAACTTTGAAACCGCCTAGTCCTGATATCTGACAATAGCCTTACAAAATATACTGTCACCGTCAGTGAGTGCTAACCATTGTGGCATCATCGTTTACCATGACATCAGAATCAAATCAGTAATCCCTTTGCCATTGAAGTTGGATAACTTGATTTTACATTCCGGAAAATGGTTATGTAACTTTTACTGAAATGATGGTATGGGATTATACAAGGCACGCGGATGGGATTCCCTATGCACGCCAGTTCAGTGACGTTGATAGCAAAAGCAATGATCAAAGCAGTCAGGGGATCAATATCATTATCAGCCAGATGGTATATTAGGATCACACGTTTATTGACCTGGCACCCGTGAAGGTCCGGGTTAGAATGAACCTTCAGTAACCCATGCTTGTCGTAAAAGGCGAGTAACGGGATCGGGTGGTCAGGCTCGCTGGCTTGGTTGACACATGTCATCGGTTCCCAATTGCGCAGATCGATGCTCATGCTGTTGATCACTGGATTGTCTGGTCCAGACTCGATTATTTACAAACCGCCGCCATATAGCTGGAATATTGCTTAGTGCGGCGTAAAACTAAACTCATTCACTCACTCACTATTGACCTGGCATTGAGATACCTTGAACTTTAATCAACATGTGTGAAAAGTACTGTTAACATTGCTCACCTCTGGTCTTATGCGGATTTTGCTGAATCTTGTTATTCCGGGTCTGCCTGGTCCTGAGACACTATTGCTTTCACCTCTACACCATCGGTTCTGTTTACGTGGGTATACACCGACATTGACATTGGCTAGAGACAGATACTCGGTCGGAGTATTGGTGTCCATGCCATGGCAGTAGACTCTGGCTCTGTTGCCGTACATGGTGGCGGACTTTGGGTATATCCAGTACTCCCCGTCGGAGGTCACGTTCAGCAGAGCCTTAACTTCCGAACACGTAGATGGGTAGTTGACCACTGCAGACGGAATTTAACAAGTAATGATATATAGTCATTTAAGGTAAGACAGGTCACCTCACTCACTCACTCATTTTTTCTTATACACTAACAATCTAAACACATGGGTCAGTTTTAGATTCGTTTCAATGTGTTCAATTAAATGCGCATACTTTATTTAATGTGAGATCACTTTCCACTGTACTGTATTGTCATGGGTGATTTGAATGGTCCCTTACGCTGGCCTTCTAAACATCTTTGAAAGGTCGGTCCACAACGACCTGTGTGGCAGTGATCACTTCCCAACCTTCCTTTTGGTAATAATTCCATCTGACACTCCACCTTCTACAAGATGGAATTTCACAAAGGCAAACTGGTTCACACCTAACGCACATTGAAACTAAATCCTGAATCATTTAGTGGTGTTGCAGATCCCATTTAGGTATTCTATGACCTTTTGAATGAAATATCTGATGAATGTATTCGGAAATCCTCAACAAATCCACAACTATGGCTTAACTCGGATTGTAGGCAAGCTCGGAAGACTAGGAAAAAGCCTGAGAATTATTTCCACCATCGCCCAAATGTCCATAACTTAAATGTTTCATTTTGATTCTGAAAATGGTGAGGATTATAGCAAGGTCTTTTCGATTCATGAGCTGCATACCGCCTTAGGGCAGGCTCATGATGCTGCCACAGGTGCTAATAGTATTCCTTATCAGTAACTTAAACATTTACCCGATTCCTGTTAATAAAAACTCTTTTGAATATACTTTTGATACAGGAGTTTAATTCGTACTCAAGAATATTTCAATCATGTGGCGACGTGCATTCGTGTGCTTGCTCACTGAGATACCATGCCGCAGTTAAGCATGAATACCCCACTCAGACACATTATACTGACTCCGAGACGACCAGTCCTTGTTGTACCCATTAATGCCGAGCGCCAAGCAGGGAACATCAAGTACCATATATTAACGTCTTTTGGTATGACGCGGCCAGAGATTGAACCCGCGACCTTCCACTCTCCGGGTGGACGTTCTAACCACTACACTACCGAGGCGGTCATGGACAACGGGAAATTTCCCTTCCTCATGGCGGAATACTGTTGAAGTTCCGGTTCTGAAACCTGGACGTGATCATAAATTACAGGCAAGTAAAACTATATCACTCACTAGTTGTATTTGTGAAACAATGAAAAGAATGGTAAAAAACGATTAATGTTGTACTTAAAAACAAATTATATTGTTACAAATATTCAATGTGTTTTAGAAAAAATATAAGTACCATAGACCCTATAGATAGATTGGAAACTTTCGTTAAGAATGCTATCATCAATAAACAACCCGCTGAATCCATATGTTTGGATTTAGAAAAAGTGTACGATACGACTTGGCAAAACATGGAATTTTTTAATGACCTTCATGAAATGGGTCTGATAGGCCGTTTCCCTAATTTCATATCACAGTTTTTAACAAGTCGGCATTACAAGGTACGTGAAGGACCCACCTTGCCGGATGTTTACAATCAGGATCAAGGTGTGCTATAGGTAGCATATCAGCGGTAACGTTCTTTATTATACAAGATAATAGCCGAGCTAAAGTTTTAAATGAATCCGTAGATGGCACATTACTTGCAGATGATTTTGGTGCATCATGTCCAGGTAAAAATATACACACATGACACCTGCTACATTAACAATATTGTACCAGGAAAACACAAAGATAATTATTTTCAATTATAAGATGTCAAAGAATTGTTTATAATGCAAAAAGAAAAGTTTACCATTGTACTTTGATTTGTCAATCAGCGCCAGTACCGGCTAAGTTTACGATATAATACACTTAACGTAAGATTTCGTCAACATGGAAATCAATCATTAACTGAGGTATAGTTTCCGGTTGTACCTAAGTTGATTTTAATTTTGGCTAAATTTGACTTCAAACTTTCCGCCAGTGGCTGAAGGGATGATATACCTGTGTCGTCCAGCTGAGGGTCCATGCGATGAGGTAGGTCACGTTGTGACGGAAAGTAATGTAAGTCCCCATGGTCCCTAATTTGGTGATCTACCTTCAGTAGTTGGCGATCTATAACCAAGAAACAGTTTACTGTTTTTATATTGTATTGTCCTTACAGCGTGACGTCATGCAAATATTATTAGTACAAACTCTTCCGCAAACTCTTTATGAAACCGGTTTCGGTTTGAAACCTTAACAAAAATACGCTATTTTGTCAATTTAATGCATGTAAGACTAATAAAATACCACACTCGGTCTTTACATACGCATTATTGTAATTGTATTTGACCTCGCTTTCGCTCGGTCAGATATAGGAAGGACAGTTGTATAATGCGTTAATGAACCTCGTCTAGTTGTTTTACAGTCCTTCGTAGACAGGTTTTTATCATATACATACATTCCATTTCAATGTGAAATATGTTCTCGTCACGATATGGCTGAGATATTGCCGATGTGACGTTAAATATTAACTCACTCACTCACTCCTAAGTTGATTAAAGAGTGAGGAAGGAACGTATTGTATCCACACCCGTGACGTTCTGTCACTTTGTTGTTCAGATGACCGAGAAAGAATACTTTTTACAAGTTTTGAATACATTATTTATACTAGACTCAAAGGAGCTGGGGTGTATTATTTCAGTGTCTCCAGTGTTTTGTAAATTTGAACTCTTTGACATCTGGGAGATTTACATCTATGATTTATGAGACGTCATACTTCCGGGACTTCTACTTACTTTCAACCATTATGTCACCTTTGGAATATTGACCCGAGGGAAAGTTTCCCCTAATCATCTCCATGGATCGTATTTTTCACACCATATTGATCGCGACTATTGCATGCAGTTTGATACCCCGGAGTACTTATCTGATGAGCCGGCTACATTTCCCAGCGGCTGAAGGGATGGTTTAAATAGAGCTAGGGTCCATGCAGGTAGCAAAAGTAATGTAAGTCCCCATGGTTCCTAGTATGGTGATCTACCTTCAGTTGTTGGCGATCTATAGCCCGTGTTTTATACTGTATTGTCCTCTTTATTTGAAATGTTTTAGCTTTGGTCGCTAGTTCTATTCATATCTGTGATTCTCTAGTATTTTTACTGTCCATCGTCGACAGGTTTTAATCTTCAAAACGTTTTCTCTTTATATTGTATAATTTGTTTTCGTCACGATATGGCTGAGATATTGCCGATGTGACGTTAAATATTAACTCACTCACTCACTTATCTGATGAAAACATCCCATCAGCACAACTATTGCATAAAGTATGATGATGTTTTTGTGTGCTACAGTAGCCGACACGTTGAACAACCGAATACATTGCATGTGTTAATAGGGTACTTGTGATCAAAGGCATCATCCTAGAAGAGGACATGTACAACAGTTAGTGATAAATACAAGTCCGTTTGAGGCAAAATCTCCCCAATGAATTGTATTCTTACTCAAAAACAAAGAATCGTAAATGACTCAAACCAAGCCAAAGTAAATAGGGAAAAAACACCAACTCTGCAGAATTTTGTTATGATTTTTGTCAACAAAATAAAAAAGTTGTTTGACAAACCATCATTATTTTCATTCGATATTTTAAGATTTTGAACAAGGGAGTAGCGACAGCTCAGGTAACAGCCAGGTAAGCGAGAGGCACGGGCAAATTTGTCACGTGACTGTTTATCCCACTGATTGAGCAATTGATACATCTCACACAATGAAGTTTACTGCTGATGTTAAAGCTTTAATTTACAAGGTCCACGTTAAACCCAATTCCACCACCACAAGGTCTACGACTTCTTCAAGCCTGAAACTCAACGGGGCAGACTATTTAAGCACTTGATAAATTTCTTAAACGTACAGCTTGTGCTGTTGGGGTTCCAGAGCAGCAATTGAAAACATTATTAAAACAACGACAAACTCTATCTTCAAACAGGAGCGCCCAGGATGGGGCGTTTCAAAGGCATGAAAATTGAAAAACTTGATTCGTTTCAAAAACAACTTGTCAAGAACACAATCCGAAGTTTGTATAGCAAGAATAGATACTTATCCTTACGCATATTGCAAAAAGATGTGGAAACTCAACATTCCCTCTCAATATCTAACTTTGAAAATTTCGGATTTCGGTACACCAAAATTAGTGGGAAAGTGAGGAGTGTTCTTTTGAAAGACCAGATATTGTACGCATGAGAAATAATTATTTACGCACCATATGAACCATATGAATGCGAGCGACTCATTGTGCTTTAGTCGGAAAGTGAGACGTGTTCTTTGTGAAAGATCAGATATTTTAAGTATGAGAAATAATTATTTACGCACCATACGTGAAAAGAGGGAACGTTTGTACACATCGTTCCGCCATACCGTTTGAGTCTGAATGATAACATGCTCTATCCCATGTTTGGATACCAACTGACTGAATTCACTGCTTGTGAATGCTGTGCCGTTGTCTGACACAATGGTAACTGGCAGCCCATGTGTTGCGAAAGTTCGTTCCAGCATATCAATGGTAATCTGGTAAGTCGACGAGTTGCATACATGCACATCTAACCACTTGGAATGTGCGTCGACTATGAGTAGAAACATCTTGTTCTGAAAAGGTCCTGCATAGTCAATGTGAATCCTTGTCCAAGGATTTTGCGGATACGCCCATGGATGCATAGGCACCGAATCTGTGGCTTTGGCATTAACTTGACAGTTCTCACACTCACGCACTTTGGACTCGATTTCAAAGTCCTACTTTGGCCACCACACACAGCTTCTGGAGAGCATTTTCATACGAACAATTCGCGGATGCCCGTCGTGTAGCATGTTGAGTACTTTCTGCTGACCTTGTGGCGGCACAACAACTCGTGCGCCCCTAAAGATGTTTCCTTCATGTACGCTAAGTTCAGTCTGGCTGGTCATATATGGTTGTGACTCTGGTTCCTTGGAATGTGTCCAACCATGTGTAATGAAACGTTCCACTCGGGAGGGTGTAGGATCCATCTTTCGATGTCAGCAGCCGTGACTGGAGTCACGTCGAGGAAGGTTACAGCAGCTATAGTCTCATGAGGTATGCAGATCATGAAACGACGGTAACCTGCTCAAAGCGTCTGCGAGATTCATCTCGTTACCTGGTGTGAATAGTCATATGCTGAGAGTGTCAGCGCCCATCTCTGGATCCGACCGAAGCAGTTGTAGTTACTCCTTCTTCTCGATGAAGAGTGTTTCCAGGGGTTTGTGATCATTGCTGATATGGACATAACGTCCATATGTATATATGAGTGGAATCTTTTGATTCCGAAGATCACGGATAAGGCCTCTTTCTCAATCTGAGAATAGTTACGCTCTGCAGGGTTGAGCGTTCGAGATGCGAAGGAGATCGGTCTGTGTGTACCATCAGATACTTCCATCACATGAAACAGGACTGCTCCTAGGCCGTATTGAGTTCGGCATCAGTTGCTAATATTAAGTCCTTATTAGCATCGTAATGAACAAGCAGCTGTGATGAGTTCAAGAGTTCTTTTGATTCACGAAAAGCTTGCTTTGTTCATGACCCCATGTCCATTTCACATCCTTCCGCAGAAGTTTGTGCAAGGGTGCCAACACACTAGACATATTTGGGAGAAATTTCCCATAATAATTGAGAAGCCCGAGATAGGACTAAAGTTCAGACACATTTGTGGGAGAAGGTGCGTTGGATATAACCTCAACTTTGCTAAGCACTGGGTGGAGTCCCTCTGCACTAATCCGATGATCCAAGTAGGTCACTTCCTTGGCTTGGAAAACACAATTTTCCTTGTTAGCGGGAATTCCTAGACAGTTTTCCTAGAACTGTATCGACGTTCTGCACATGATCAGGGTCATCTTTCCCTGATATGATAATGTCATCCTGGTAACCACATGACATAGGAGGCTTTTAGGAGCACCTTTCAAAAGGTTGTTGACATATCTCTGGAATATGCCAGGTGAAGAAGAGATGTCTGTTATACCGGAATAGTCCAGGTGAGTGTTGATAGTGGTATACTGTTTTGATGTTTCATCTAGCGGAAGCTGAAGGTACACGCTGGCAAGGTCAATCTTTGTGAAAGTCTTACCGCCTGAAAGTTCCGCATAGAGATCTTCGATTTGGATACTGATCCAACATAGAAACTTGGTTGACAGTTGTCTTATAGTCACCACAAATTCTGATTTGTCCATTTCCTTTCAACACGGGTACGATGGGTGTGGCCCACTCCGAGAATTGAACTGGTTCAATTATGCCATCACTCAACAGTCTATCAAGTTCATCATTCACCTTCTTCTTCAGTGAGTAATGTTTCATGTTTGGTTACAATGTCATTCCAATCGAGTTTTAGTTGGTTGAGGAGGTCCCTTCCCAGTAAACTTGGTCTTTTTTGATTAACGATAAGAACAGCTGATGGTACGGATTGGTTATTGTATCTTATATCCACAGCAATGGTACCAACCATCTTCAGCATCTCTCCTGTGATCGAAGGACCCGTGAAGTCTCCTTAATAACTGGATGGTTGGACGACCAAGTCTTCTCATAATTTGACTTAGTGATGAGGGTGAAAGTTGCGCCCGTATCGATCTGCAGCTGTACTGATGCATTATTTATTTCTACATTGATATAATGTGGTGGAACAGATGTGTCGTCCTCATCAACATGATAAAGTTCGTATTCTGCTGTGCACACCAATCTGTCATGAAGCATGTTTTCAGCAACGTAGGTAGCAATCGACTGATCGGAGTGCCTCCTGCACATGTTGAATTTGGAGCATTGTGTTATCGCTGACAGCTTCGGTTCAAAATGGTTTTCCAGCACTTTGATCAAATCATCTAAAGACTTATCTGTTGGTTTTTCAGGTGAAACCAAACTTCTGAGTAGTTCATATGTCTTTGATCTGATTAAACTTATAAGAATAGCCCTCTTCTGGCTAAAGAAGCAAAGAAAGCGTTGACCCACCTGCCCTAATATGTGATAAGTCTGACACTGTGGCTGTCGATGATGAATTTCATTTCATTTGGGGTTGTCCTTACTATAATAGTAGCAGAAATAAATTCATTCGAAAATATTTTCATCGCTATCCTTCACGGGAAAACTACAACTTATGTCTTCAACAAATGTTAATATTTTGAAGGGACTTGCATTGTATTTCAAAGGAAATCTCTATGCAAAATGTGTCCTATATTTTGCAGGAACATGATTCCATGTGTTATATAAAATGAATTATTATTACCATTGTTAGATGTTTTTGTAAGAGAACGGGGAGAAGGACACCCCCACTTGAGAACTTAGCCTGTTCCGGTGAGACGCCATGTATCAAACTGCATGCAATAGTCGCGATCAATATGGTGTGAAAAATACGATCCATGGAAATGATTAGGGGAAACTTTCCCTCGGGTCAACATTCCAAAGGTGACATAATGGTTGAAAGTAAGTAGAAGTCCCGGAAGTATGACGTCTCATAAATCATAGATGTAAATCTCCCAGATGTCAAAGAGTTCAAATTTACAAAACACTGGAGACACTGAAATAATACGCAATTCGTTAGGGAGATTTTGCCTCAAACGGACTTGTACGTCAGTATGTACTTTCAGAAAAATAAATTCGCACCTTAACAAGCACTATCACCTTGATCTCCGCAATTGCATTGCTTTCTTTTACGCTCTTTTACATTTCGTTTACATTCTTGATGAGAAGTTCTTTAAAGCACTGAGGCAAACCTTTACTGTGTTCTTATCTTATCTCTTATCTATTTTATCTTATCTCTAATCTTACCTCTTATAATGTTTATGTTTATAGTAAAAGAAATCAACATAGCTTGTTCATGAAGAAAACATTTTTGCAACATTGGTATCGAAATGGAATGTTGATAATGAATCCTTCAAAAAACTTAAACTTAGCAATAAACGTATCATTATGATGGCTTCGTAGTATTGCGAGCATTTTAAAATACAATTATTTTCCCCCTCAACAAGCAATTGTGTTTAAAAGCGTTTGATTGTGACTTACAAGACACTAACATTTGTTAGAGTGGCATTTTAGAAGTTGAGACGTACAATATAGAACACATTTTTATGGAACTAACAATGTGTCTCACAAGGATTGTGCATGTGTTTGCGCTCATCATAGGGACCATGAGACTCAGTGATGTGCACACGCCTTATGTCATTATCTAGCTTAAAACTGACTGTTACAGGTCAAAGGGGATGTATGATAACTGAATGGCAAAATAATGTATGCCCAGTTTGAATACATGACACTTTTATGGATAACAACTTCTTTTCATTATTAACACGACGTTTCAAAGCTAATTCTTGCTCCTTCATCAGGTCATCCTCGCTAATACAACTAATGAAGGAGCAAGAATTAGCTCTGAAACGTCGTGTAAATAATAAAAAGAAGTTGTTATCCATAAAAGTGTCATGTATTCATGTTCGTCCAACTTCTAAATGCCTTTCAAAGAGCTTTATGCCCAGTTTGTATTGTATGTAATTGAGAGAACTGTTGTTTGATGTAGTTTTGTTCTACTTAACTATCGCTCGACTTTCAAAGATTGTAAAAAATAATCTGTGGATGTGTATTTTGAATAAAAGAACTGGTGTAGCAAATACAGAGGTAAGAAATGAATTTGCAATCACATGGCACCTGTCACATTAGGAATACGTACCGGATACGTACAAATATAATTATGCTCAATTATGAGATGTCAAAGAATTGTGTATAATGAAAAAAAGAAACATTTACAAGTATTCTTTGATTACTTACTATTCGCCAGTACCGTTGCGTTTTATGAAAAAATATACCTAACCTAAGACTTTGTCCAACTGGAAATCAAACCTTAAAAGTGAATTGAAGTATAGTTTCCTGTTGCTAATACGTTACTTCAAGAGTGATGAAGGAAAGTAGTGTATCTACATCTGTGACGTATTGACGATATTTGGAAAGATTTTCACTGATCTGATTAGAATTTTAGCAACGGTTGACAACCATACCTTTGCTTGACAGCGTGAACAGACTGAACCCAGTGGCATCCGTTATGACGTCAGTGCTTTCTCCATCAGGAAGGGCAAATCCATTTGTAATACACGTCCCATTCTCGCGTTCAAAGTACGCGGACAAGCAGAACTGACCATCTAAACAGGTTCTTAAACATTGTAATATGTCCAGGCCTTTCCAAACATGAAGACGCCGGTAGTCTGACAAGGTATCCCTACACTGCAACTGTTCTTTAAATATGTACACCTTGATACTCACAATGGTGCTCAACTCCAGCAACACCACCGCCAAACCTAATACATCCATTTCGTAGCATGGACTACTTGTGTCTGATGATGTGTATCTCATTTAACGGAACGGATACTGTCACTTTGTTTGTTAAGTGGACCGAGAATAAAAACCTTTTACAAGCAATCGAATACATTATTTAAGTCCGGCTCAAAGGAGCTGGGGTATTGCATTTCATTTTGTCCGGTTGCCTGTGTTTTGTAAATTTGAATTCTTTGGCATCTGGGACATGTATATCAATGGTTTACCTGAAGCGTCGTTCTTCTGGGACTTCTGCTTGCCTTCAACAATTCCGACGCATTTGGAATACGACCATCTAGATCTTAATAATTTAAGCAGATTCCCCAGGTACAAAATCAGCATCGTTGGTTTCTATAGGTTTAAACTGTCCATTAGGTGCATGAAATAGATGGGGATGAGATCCCCTTAATCAAGTTCAGCGATCGTGTCTTTCACCCCATATTGATCGTGACTCTTGCATGCAGTTTGATATCCCTGAATACTTGAAAGCATCCCACCAGCATTACTATTGCATAAAGAACACTGTGATGGTTCAATTGCGTGATGTAGTAACCGACACGTCGAACATCCGAATATTTTGTATGTGTCAATATGGTACATGTGGTCAAAGAAATTAACCTAAAAGCGATATATATATGCTACACGTTGAACAACCGAATACATTGCATGTGTTCTTATGGTACTTGTGATCAAAGGCTACATCCTAGAATGTACAACATTTAGTGATACATACGTCAGTATGTACTTTGAGAAATATACTGAAAGGCAAAAGAAACGTCGTAATATTAGAAATGACATTTGGGTATCAATGGAGTATTTGAACCTATTTTTTTAAATATACACCAGAAGTCAGGTTTGAGGAAACATGAATCGTGGTCGTATAGCCTGCATTGCCCAATAAAGAATTGTTTGAGATTGAAGTTAGAAATGTTTTTGTCTTTTGGAGAGGGAAAAGTTCCCACAAACAAAACATTGAAATCGAGATGCACGTGCATCGTAAATACATTCAGGCATAAATTGCCGGCTTGAATGGCAATCGTTCACTTGTTTTCTGAACACAGCAGCTATGACTAGGTTAACGAGAGATCAACCACAACAAGCTATTTGACGTCTGCACGCTGGTCAACATGCTCGAGTTATTGCTAATGACTTCAGTAGCAGCGTACGAACGATAGAACGTCTTAAAGTGCGATACAACGCCACCAGCAGCACTGATGACCGTCCACGTAGTGGTCAACCCCGTGTAACAACACGTCGCCAAGACCGTCATATCGTCCATCAACACGTGCAAGACCTATTCGCAAAGACCATAGGAAACCACCAGCGACCAGTCAGTGACCTACCATTCGGCGACGTCTTCAAGCCAGGAACCTGTTTTGTCGATGTCCTGCCAGGAGACCCATATTCACCCAACGTCACCGCCGGGAACGTATCCAAGTGGACACAACAGCGGCAAAACTGTCGTGGGGGACAATGGAAAGGGCTTATCTTCTCTGATGAAAGTCGGTACTGCATTTAAGTGGCGAATTATTTTTTAAAAAATTACCTTCTCTTTTATCTTATCTCTTATAGTGTTTAGGTTCATGGTAAAAGAAACAAACATACCAATTTCACAAAGAAAACATTTGTGCAACAATGGCAACGAAATTGATTGTTGACAATGAATCCTTCAACAAACTTAAACTTAGCAATAAACGTATCATTATGATGGCTTCGTAGCATTACATTAATTCTAAAAATACAACGTTGAAACAATAAAAGTACACATTTTGTTTTTGGGGGGATTATTCCCCCCCCCAAAAGAAGCAAACAGCGTTTTCATTTAGGTTTACTACACACTAGCATTGTGCCTGGCAAGGGTTGTGCTCATATGTTTGAGCTCATGAAAGGGATCATATGCACACATCTACAAAAAGGAATGTCGGAAATTGACAGTTACTTCGTATCCCTAAAATGTACACAATTGCAAATGGCATATGTCGAAATAACCCATATCGGCCTAAGTGGGCGTTGAGTGGGATGCGTAATAGGATATCCAGAAAAGCATGTTTGCTCGTAAAATCGGGCAAAACTTAGAAAAAGTACGAATAGCTGCTTAAAACAGTAGATCAGACTATAGATGGCAATTAGCTCGCTCAGCCAGGTATGACGACGGACCGTCGCATCACCTGACATGAAATGCATGTGCTGCCTAAAGGCACAAGGAGTCATCTCAAAGATATTTTATGTTTTTACATGTGTATTGAATATGTCTCATCTATTGATTAACATCTTTCGTGACTTTCTTTCATAAACTTTATGTTGAGATATTTAAAAGAGTATCATGCTCATAGAAAGTTTAAATCAGTCATCGTATTATATGTCCCAAAATGTATAGGTGGCATGATCACCCCGAAGATCGACGGGACTGGATATTATTTGTAAATTGTCATGGCATGCCATTTACTTCCCCAGTTTAATTCCCCTAAAGGAATATCTTATCCTAGCTGATATCTCTATCCCCCAGCCCGACCACAACCACCGTCTGCGACACCCTCTCAACATATAACAGATTAGTTATGTTCTAACATGGCCGGTAGTGTTCAGGTGTCATCAACCTCTGAATCACTGGAGTCAGACTCCGATGTGGTCAGAGGTATGACGACGGGTCTGACAAGACCGACGTCGACGCCATCAAGCTGTCGATAGGCTGCCTCGATGGCCAGGACATGGTTCTCTGCCTTTTGCCATACTGCTGGTGTAATTCTCACAAATATGCATGGAAAAGATCTTTGACATCGGACATCCGAAAGGACGTGTTGTCACTGGGTACAATAGCCTTACGGTTAGCCCAGATCAGCTCAATCGGATTCAGCTCACAATGGAGTCCGTAAGACAACGTGGCCATGCTGATGTGCTAACGTGTCTGATCTGTAGACTACAGGTTTCCCATGCTGTCTGATGTTCTCCATGAGCTGTACTTTGGTTTGTACCTGTCTAAAATACACCTTGCAGGAGGTCAGAAATTCTTGCATTTTAGCCTTACGGTAACTCATGGTTGGGGTCAATGTTTACGGTACACTGAGGTTATGATAACTGGTGTTATCCATAACGATGACGCTAGGATTGTCCAGACGGGGTAGGAGCTGATGATCCATCCATTCAAGAAACACCTCACCATCTGGCCTCAAAGACGAGGTCGCACCCGTCAATGAGAGCAGAATCACGTGAACCAGCGTGAAGAACGATGAGGCGTTTACCTTTACCAGATGGAATAGTTGGGACCTTGGTGCACGAACCATCTGGCGGTAGCCACATGTAATCCAGGGAGTGATCCTTGTTCACCCAGGTGTCCTCGAGGTATAAAAAGGCGACTAACGGGATCGGGTGGTCAGGCTCGCTGACTTGGTGGACACATGTCATCGGTTCCCAATTGCGCAGATCGATGCTCATGCTGTTGATCACTGGATTGTCTGGTCCAGACTCGATTATTTACAGACCGCCGCCATATAGCTGGAATATTGCTGAGTGCGGCGTACAACTCATCTCACTCACTCACTCCTCGAGGTATACTATCTGAAAACCCAACTCCCGGTATTCGGCGGTTCTTCTGAGGATAGGTTGACCTGAGGTTGAGGATTAAAAACTGTTCACGTAACACTCCACGATCACGTAACACTCCCCTTACTTTATACCTAAGCCCCATTTCATGGAGACCAGTGATAAAAGTTGCTCCAGATGCATTAATGGTATCATTGATCTCTTCCCTAATGGTACGGAAGGTTGGTGGTATCTTCCTGTCATACAATTTATATACTGCTCTCCTGACCCCCATATCAAAGCTATCCAATTTGTGTTTGTGTCCTGATTTCGCTTTTGAGACGACCCGTCCTACCTGTTTGTTTATGGCAGGCCAAGGCAGCCTTCGAAATTAAATGTCGGTCCTTAGGCCCGAAGCCGACTGAAAACCTTTCGGACCCACAGCTTTGGTTTTCTGCAGATCCTTATGTCCGACAGCCTTTTCGTCCCAAAATACTCGGAGTATGAAGACTAGTAAGTCACTAGAGTTAAATTGAACTCTTTAACTCAGTTTGGTGGTTGTCACCCTTTTTGTTTGCTGGGAATTACTTATCTTGTAGCTAAAATAAAGGGCCTACACATTCTGATCACAACTTCTTGTGGTTTTGGGTCCTTAATATGTACACTTTGATACTCACGATGGTGCTCAACTCCAACAACACAACCACCAAACCTAATACATCCATTTCGTAGCATGGACTACTTGTGTCTGATGATATGTGTCTCATTTAACGTGAACCGATACCGTTACTTTGTTCAGATAACCGAGAAAGACTACCTTTTATAAGTATTGAATACACTATTTACGCAAGGCTCAAAGGACATGGCGTGTTAAATGTCCTTTTTGTCTAATGGCCAGATGTTTTTATAGAATTTGATTTTCCTTCGCATCCGGGACAATTACAGCTATGGTCTACCTGAGATGTCATCCTCCCGGGAATTCTCATCACTTTAAGCCATTGCTCATGTAGATGTAAATAATTTAAACAGATTCTTCAGAACAGGCAGTGTTTTCAGGGTATTACAAATAGGGAAGGCAGGACTGTTCAAGTGTGTCTCGAGATCCTCACCATAGCGAGTCAAATCAGACAAAAGTTTTTAATCATTAGTGTGAAATGTCACAAGATATTTTAGTCAGAATCAATATTACAGCAACGTTCATCATGCAGAATAACAGAATAAACAGAACAACAGAATTTTATTGTATTTCGAAGCCAGGAGGCCTAGAGTACAGTTCAAGATGTAGTTTAAGATGTTAAATACATTTTTAGAGCGCTATAATCATATGATAATACCATATGCACTATAGTACACAATGCTATGAGAATGTGGTCAAATGCAAACACGTTCTATTTGGGACCACGCTCTCCCAGCAAAGCACAGGCTGACGCACCCCTGCCGGGCAGAGTCCCGTCCAGGACCCAGACCCACACCCCCACAACCCGGCACCCACTCGCCAGCACACAGATTCAGCCACCCACTCCCACTCGCTGGCTGGGCGGGCTAGCCGGCCGACCCCGGGCGCCGCCGGTGAACAGGCGCCAGATTCAGCCACCCACTCCCACTCGCTGGCTGGGCGGGCTAGCCGGCCGACCCCAGGCGCCCGACTCCGGGGATGCGGGCCCGAATCCCGGACGGAACCCAACCCAACAAAAGCACGAGAATCCTCACCCCACACAACATGGGTTACACAACAAACACAACATATGTAACTCTATAATCTTGATTTGAATACTTGATACAGGTAGGTGGCTAAGCGGAGCATTAGATTACTGTTTGTTGTTGATAATAAAATGTGCAGTACCTGGATGGCTATAATGATACATAGGTAGATAATGTTCCCGAATGTGTGCGTAATATGGACAAATAAACAGAACATGATATTCATCTTCTTCACCTTCTCCGCAGTAAGAGCATAATAACTCAACGGGGTTACAATTGTGAACATGTTTTAAAAAAAACACTTTAAAACTATTTGAACAGCATCTGACCTTAGTCAAAGCCCTTCTTAATTGTACAGATTTTATATAAGTGAAATATATTTCAGTATTAAGCTAAGATTTAAATGTACAATATGTTGACAGTAAAGTAGAATTACTAACATACATCTTCACTTTGGTAGAAATGTAGTCCATGTCCGTCTGGACTGACATTTATTTCCGATGATATCATGTATGTATATACATATTTATATTTGCGTGCGTGAGTGCATGCGTGCGTGCGTGTGCGCGTAAAGAGTCGAACTGATACATATGTGGTCTGAAAATGGAGATACACTGCTGCCATACAACCTGTAGTTTTGTTCCTATTGTTGGGTTCAGTATCTGTAGCTCCAGGAGTGACTAAAAGATGCCTGGTCGTATGTTTTTTCCAGTCTCTCCTCAACTTGAACTTTGATACATGGGATTTCAACGCTGCCTATAGTTGTTTGAATACAAATAGTCCCGGTCCCCAAAACACTACCCACTGCTTTTCTGTGTGAGTGCTATAACGATGTATGATGTGTAAAAGGAACAATACTTTATATTCTACAAAATATAACATAAGATAATATGAAATACAATTATGTTACATTTGCCTTTCTGTATCTTAAAGTTGAAAAGAAAGCACAAAAATACCTGGACTTTGACCAAGGGTCATGCCACTGTGTTATCTATTGCTTAATAACCACATGTTGGCTACCATGGCCTTGAGGCACTGTAACCTTGTGAGGATTCACAGAGAGTCCCTGGTTTTGTCCCGTTATCAGTGAATGCAGACGGAAGGTAAGTAGAAAACCTCTTGGAATCTAATTTTGATAAATATGAAGTGGAGAAAAATATTTTATGTTCATATTATGCAATATAATCTTCAACGAACTAAATATACATCACCAAATCATGTAAGTGTGGCAACAACGTATCCTTATCTCTTAACATGGAAGCATAACAGCAGTGTAGTTTTGACAATGGTCTGTGTCTACTCCAAGTGTTCGAGTATTTACTGTATAAGTGTGCTTTATGGAATCGTCCCTAGTGTGGTGGTCTTCTTTCGGTTGTTGGCAGTCTATTGCCTGTTTTATATTGTATTGCCATTTATAGTAAAACTATTTTAGATGTAATTACTAGTTTTAAATTTATTTCTGTGATAATCTAGTTGTTTTACTGTCTTTTACAGACAGGTAAATATATTTTCTAACTTTGTTTTTATTCATTTATAAATGTACAACTTTCTTAGTCACGACATGGCTGAAATAATGCCGATGTGACTTTAAATTTTCACTCACTCACCCACTCACACATTATGGATTCCACATTTATGGCATTGGCAAAGTTCATTTGCATTTTCAAACTGGCCTTTTGTGAGTTACGCCTCAAACTGGCGTCCCAGTTCTACATCGGGTGATTCTACATTAATTCTTGATTGTTGAACAAACTCCCAAGATAAGGTGAGACCACATATGTCACGTGTACTCCGCTGTGAGGCAGGACTGAAGTCCAAGAAACTCTCAGGAGTAAAGCTGCCAAACACAGTCCAATCCAAGTGACCAACCTTGCTTAGCTTCACATGATTTGTGACCATCACCACCACCGAACATGATGATGGCTACGAATAACAGTTGGTTTACGAGCATCATACCTGTGATGCATGAGTTCCATTCCCCATATGTACAATGTATGAAGCCCATTTCTGGTGTCCCCCGCCGTGATATTGCTGGAATATGGCTAAGAGCAGCGTTAAACCAATATCACTCACTCACTCACTCACTTTTTCCAACGTGGCAAACATCTACGACCTGTATCACTCTAAGACCTGTTCGTGTCAAAACACATGTAATGTATGCATATTATACTGAGCAAGTCAAAACATCGATTACACAACAGTCTCGTTTCCTGATGACTGGGTTCCGTCCTATTGCGCAACTTAGTACAATAACCAGTTCAGATTTTTTAGACCAATTCATTTAACTGGATACATAAATATTAATCAGTATTATTTGATACTTGTATATTGCAACGCTACGTTCCTTATAATCCTTGCAATCACGACGTGCGGCGTGCTCTGTCGTACAGCGAGCATTGAAACCTCGAAATCGTGGAAATATCAAAACGAGGCTCTGCCGCTAGAAAAGTTTGGCGGTCTGGTACGGACTTGATATTATATCAACTACACTGAATAAGCACACAAAAACACATTACAGGTGTAACCAGTGAGGCAGATGCATTGTGAATCATTTTACGACCTCATCAAACAGGAGCAGTCTGTGACGTCTCATTTAAGGTCATGCTGCCTACACCTCGCCATAAAATATAGAAATACGATGTTATTAACGTTTAAAATTAAAATCCATTGTAAATACCGTTTTGTTATGACACAAGGAATTGGAATTTAGTGTAACCATAGTTGTTTGTGATGTCTATGTTCACTTTCACACGAGACATTCGGATCGGCTGAGAAGTAGGTCATTGTCTGAATAGGTTAATGAGACTCATGTTTCGGTTTGTCATCCTGTTTCCGTCATGCCGAATATCCGGGTTCGATTCCCCACATGGGTACAATGTATGAAGTACATTTCTGGTGTCCCCCGCCGTGATATTGCTGGAATATAGCTAAAAGCGACGTTAAACCATACTCACTCACTCATCCTGTTTCTTTCAGAACTACAGCCATGACCGGTCTCCTTTTGGTCGCTCTCGCCGTCATAGTTGCTGTCAATGGTAATAATAGCTATTGCATACATTAATTATAACCCAAGAGCATCACGTATACATAGGACAGTGAATGTGTCATTCGTGATGTACTCAACAAATTATCTCCCTCCGATCAAATTCACTGTGATAGTTATTGCCGATATTAACTGTATATATATTATTAAAACGTAACATGTTACTAGGTATTGTTGGTAAAACAGATTTAGTAAAGACTAGAGTGAGAATTTGCAACCACATGTCCCCAAACATGTTTCAAACGCTGAAAGTTTGTGCTCTCAAAAACAAGTTTATCGATGTCCTAGATACCAATTATCATATTCCTATATTTTCAAAAGTTTAGGATCAAATCATTATTCACATAGCTTGTCGCCCTCCCAAAAAGTGCGGGGTAGATCCCCAATAAATCCCCCCAAAAGATAATGTCTTTTAATAATATTGTACAATGGAACTGCAGAGGGCTAAGAAATAATTTGAATGATTTGCAGCTATTAGTCCAGGACTTCACACCATCAGCCATTTGTCTCCAGGAGACATATTTAAAACAGACGGATACATTTGAATTACGTAATTTCAATGCATACCACCCCTTTTCACCTCCAGGTGATCGGGCCACTGGAGGATCTTCGATCCTTATCAAACAAAGTGTTATCCACAGCCCTGTTATACTTAATACTGGTCTCCAGGCGGTTGCAGTACGACTGACGTTACATGTTGCGTTCACATTATGCTCTTTGTACATCTCACCATCTTCAACTCTTCAGAAGACTGACCTTCAAAATTTATATGACCAACTCCCGAAACCTTGTATCATTATGGGAGATTTAAATGGCCACAACCCGCTCTGGGGTGGTACATTAACTAATGCTAAAGGTAAACTATTAGAAGACTTTTGTTCAAATAATGATGTATGCATATATAATGACGGTTCTAGCACATATTTACATCCTGGCACAGAAACTTATTCAGCCCTTGATTTATCAATTACAGACTCAGACTTATTGAATGAATTTGAGTGGTCAGTCCACGACGACCTGTGTGGAAGTGACCATTTCCCAACAATTCTCAAACCCGTGAATCCATCTGATGTCCCTCCATCATCAAGATGGAACTTTAAGAAGGCTAACTGGCCTTTATATGAAACTTTCTGTGCTGACAAACTCAAACCTGAACTTTTTCATGATCTTCCTGATGCCATCAAATGTTTTTCAGATGAGCTCAGACACATAGCTGACAAGTGTATCCCCAAATCCTCTGCAGTTCCTCATGTACGTAAACCATGGTTTAACGCTGAATGCAAACAAGCTCGCAAGGCACGGAAGAAAGCTGAACATTATTTCCGTCGCCATCCTATGGTCCACAATTTAAACAAATTTAGAATTTTAAACGCCAAAGCACGGCGTACTTTTAAACAAAATAAACGCCAATCTTGGCGAAACTATGTCTCAAACATCAATTCGCGCACGCCAATATCAAAGGTGTGGAACATGATTCAGAAAATAAAAGGTAAGGGCTCTAAATCTAGCATTAAGCATCTAACAAATGGAGATGAATTATTAACTGATAAATCGGACATAGCAAATAAACTTGGAGAAACTTTGGCCAAACATTCTTCCTCATCAAACTATGTACCTGAATTCCAGAAATATCAAAGACAGCAGGAAAAGAAATCTATTAATTTCAATTCAGACAATGGGGAAGACTACAATGAGACCTTTTCGATACATGAGCTTCATACTGCTCTTGACCAAGCTCACGATACTGCTTCAGGAGCTGATGGTATACATTATCAACTCCTGAAACACTTACCTGAATCATGTTTAGAGACGCTCTTATCTATTTTTGATGACATTTGGACATCTGGACAATTTCCTTCGTCGTGGCGTGATGCTATAATTGTGCCCATCCCTAAACCTGGACGTGATCATACTGATCCTTCCAATTATAGGCCAATTTCATTAACTAGCTGTGTTTGCAAGACCATGGAACGCATGATAAATAATCGACTTGTTTGGTACTTGGAAACCAATAACCTTATAACTAATATACAATGTGGTTTCCGTAAAAACCGTAGTACCATCGATCATTTAGTGCGCTTAGAATCTTTTGTGAAAAATGCCATAATTAATAAACAGAATGCAATGACGATCTTTTTCGATTTAGAAAAAGCATGCGACACAACATGGAAACATGGGATTTTAAAAGATTTACATGACTTTGGATTACGAGGCCGTTTGCCTCACTTTATATCCAACTTTTTAAATGACAGGCAATTTCAAGTCCGAGTGGGTTCAACCCTGTCTGACCATTACAACAGGATCAGGGATCATTTTGTCTGTAACATTGGTATCAAGATTAACAGTTTATCACAGGTTTTAAAATGATTCAATTGATGGATCACTTTTTGTGGATGATTTTAATATTTCTTGTCGCGGTAAGAATATGCATACTATTGAACGGCAAATGCAGCTGTGTTTAAATAAAATACATAAATGGTGTCTTGAAAACGGCTTTAAATTTTCTAAATCCAAAACTAATTGTATACATTTTTGTAGAAAATCAGGATCAGGGAGTCCCGCAAGGCAGTATTTTGTCTGTAACATTGTTTAGTATCAAGATTAACAGTTTATCACAGGTTTTAAATGATTCAATTGATGGATCACTTTTTGTGGATGATTTTAATATTTCTTGTCGCGGTAAGAATATGCATACTATTGAACGGCAAATGCAGCTGTGTTTAAATAAAATACATAAATGGTGTCTTGAAAACGGCTTTAAATTTTCTAAATCCAAAACTAATTGTATACATTTTTGTAGAAAATATAAACCGCATAAAGACCCTGAACTGTTCCTCAATGGCACTCCCATCAAAGTTGTAAAGGAGACCAAGTTCTTGGGTTTAATTTTTGACTCGCATCTAACTTTTCTTCACCATATCAAGTCCCTAAAAACTAAATGCTTGAAGGCACTTGACTTGCTGAAAGTCGTTTCCAATTCTAAGTGGGGAAGGGATCAAGCTACCCTCCTACAATTATATCGATCATTGGTACGTTCCAAACTTGATTATGGCTCCATCGTTTATGGTGGAGCCTGCAACAGTAATCTAAAACTTTTAGATTCTGTCCACCACCAAGGTCTAAGACTATGTCTTGGTTCCTTTAGAACTTCACCTGTTGACAGCCTCTACGTCGAGGCTGATGAGCCATCTCTTACACAACGCCGTATAAAATTAACTTTACAGTATATTACAAAACTTTATTCCAATGAGTCAAACCCTGCATATAACTGTGTCTTTAATCCACTATATGAAGATCTGTATAACAAGAAGCCTTCTCTTGTTCCGCCTCTTGGTATAAGAGTGAAACCTTTCCTTTCTGCTGCTGGCATTGAGCTAGAACATATAGCTCCTTCCCGTTTTCTTTCTTCTCCGCCTTGGCAATTTGTTTGGCCACAAGTTGACCTAACATTAACTACCTTTAAAAAATCAGAAACAAATGAATTACAGTATAAACAAGAATTTAGTCAATTAAGAAATAAATATAATACATACAAATCCTTATTTACAGATGGGTCCAAGGATGGTGGCGCAGTGGCATGTGCCACTGTCATTGGATCCCGAACAATATCTTCTAGAATACCTGATAACAGCTCTATTTACAGCAGAAGCAAACGCCATCTTAACAGCTCTTAACTATATTAATAAACACCGTAAATATAAACAATATATCATCTTTTCAGATTCTCTTTCGTGTCTTCAGGCTATTAAAAATCTTTCTTGCAAACATCCACTTTTATTAGAAATTATTGAATTGTACAATGAACTTGCTACTGGCCAATGCGACATCGTCTTTGTTGGTTACCCAGCCACGTTGGCATTTCTGGGAACACGATGGTTGATATTGCTGCTAAGGCAGCCCTCAACAAATCTGTGACACCACTTCTTATCCCATACTCTGATTATAAAGCCAGCATTAGAACATACATCCGCGATCTAATGCAAAAGAAGTGGGACACCCAAGTAGGTATTAATAAATTACATGAAATAAAACCCTACATTGGTTACACCTACTTGGGTTGTCAGTCCAGATTTGAAGAGGTCATTATGCGACGATGTCGCATTGGCCATACCAGATATACTCATGAATATTTATTGAAGGGCGAAGATCCTCCGTTTTGTATCCCTTGTGATGAAAGGATCACAGTCAAGCATGTCTTGCTTGACTGCATTGAATATTCCATCACAAGGGATAACTATTTCAAAGTAAACACTATGAAGGATCTTTTTAATAATGTTAGTTCTCATTTAATTATTGCATTTTTAAAAGAATTAGATCTGTTAAGTGATTTGTAAATAGATATATATTTTATTATTGGAAGTTTGAATTAGTAACACAGATTGTTAGTGGCTGTATCCTCGAGGGGGCTTAAAGTACTGTAAAATTATTGTCCTCCTGCGAGGGTACGTAAGTCCCAAAACATTCAAAGTAAATTTCAACTTTCCGTTTTTTTAATCGTAGAATATGTGTAATTTTAATGTATGGTTAGATATATCTCAATTGCTAACAGCTGAGGGGATGATGTAAATCCAGCTAGGGTCCATGCAGGAAGCAAATGTACTGTAAGTCCCCATGGTCCCTAGTACGGTGATCTACCTTCAGTTGTTAGCGATCTATAGCCCATTTTTATATTGTGTTGTCCCCTATAGTTAAAATGTTTAAGATTCAATTACTAGTTTTACATATATATCTGTGATACTCTAGTTGCTTTACTGTCCTTTGTCGGCAGGTTTTATAATCTCTATATATATCCTATTTCAATGTCAAGTGTTCTCGTCACGATATGGCTGAAATATTGCCGATGTGACGTTAAATAATAACTCACTCACTCACTCACTCAAATCATTATTTTTATACTGTAGCCGTGTAGAAATGTACTAGAATGCTGACTAAGCGCAAGGATAGTTCATATTTGGATATAATATCGCTAACGTAAGATATCAACAGTTGAAAAGCAGGCATACCGTACCATCAAGTGAGAAGTATTGTTTCGTTTGCCCCTCAGTTCAGCCTACATCGAATATGATAGGCTACATATGACAATTGCAATGGACATTCAATGGTATAGAATGATTAAATTGATGTAAAACGAAAACGGACAACGACAAGGTTGAAAGTGACAATCAATAGAATATGTTGGACGTGAGCAAAGACGAGGTGTTACGTGACAATCAATAGAACATATTAGAGGTGCACAAAGACGAGATGTAACGTGACAATCAATAGAACATTTTGGAGGTGCACAAAGACGAGATGTAACGTGACAATCAATAGAACATATTAAAGGTGCACAAAGACGAGATGTAACGTGACAATCAATAGAACATTTTGGAGGTGTACAAAGACGAGGTGTAACGTGACAATCAATAGAACATTTTGGAGGTGCACAAAGACGAGGTGTAACGTGACAATCAATAGAACATATTAGAGGTGTACAAAGACGAGATGTAACGTGATAATCAGTAGAACATTTTGGAGGTCCACAAAGACGAGGTGTAACGTGACAATCAATAGAACATATTAGAGGTGTACAAAGACGAGATGTAATGTGACAATCAATAGAACATTTTGGAGGTGCACAAAGACGAGGTGTAACATGACAATCAATAGGACATATTAGAGGTGTACAAAGACAAGGTGTAACGTGACAATCAACAGAACTAATGATGACCAATTATCAGATAGTTGATAACACATTTATTCCCTTCAAGGTCAGAACGGAAACGACTTGAGCCGCTGCCCTACCAATCTGAAACGCAACCGGTACCTCTACAGCCATGGCGAATACTGTTACGAATTTGCGGTCTTCGAACACCGGTACTGGAAAGGCGCCAGAGACTACTGCGTGGCCGACGGCGGCCATCTTGTGAAGATTGATAACATGGACAAAGAGTTATTCATCGTCAGCACCCTCACTCACCTGGGCTACCATGAAAAGGGCATATGGATAGGCCTCAACGATATACAGCAAGAGGGCATATACAGATGGGCGAATGGTAAGATTATAGTCTGTGAAGTTCGAAAGCGGACCGATGAATTGCAATCTAACTTAAACATTAATATACCTGTAATACTCAATGAAATGCTAATCATAATCAAACATCAGACCAACTCTGTGAAATCTTTGCAGAATGTATATGCTAAAAGTAAAAAAGTTGTTTAACAGACTATCAATAAAATTTTGACACAGTTCCCTATTTATTACGAGGGAGGAGTGCAAAGAGAGGAACAGCCAGGTGCCAACAAAGTTATTGTTTCATGTCCCTGTGCCGTATCCATCCTTTCGCGGACAGCTGGCTGTTCCTCTCTTTGCACTCCACCCTCGTTACAAATAGTGAGCTGTGTAAATATTTCAATGATAAGGTATTTTTAAGACATAAATTCTGCAAAAAAATCACAGAGTTGGTTTGATGTTTTGATTATGAGCAGCGTTTCATTGAGTATTATATGTTTATTAGTTTTCGAGCTAGATTGCAAATCATCGGTTCCCTTTTGAGCCAAACGGACTGTAGTAATGACATTTGGTTCTGAACTTTAGGCGTAGTGGTGGTGTGTTGCCCTGTGCATAGAGGCCAGGGGATTCTTTCACGAAGCAATTTTTACTAACTTTAACCTCAACTCCCATTCTTTCACATTGTACAAAGATTACTAATGACTTACGATCACCATAGTGCTTCGTGAAATAAGGGCCCATGTCACAAATCAGTTGAAGTTAAGCAAAGTTGGTCACGGAGAGTCCTTGGATGGGTGTTTGGCAACTTGACTCCTGAGAGTTTTTAGGACCCATATTTATCGAGAAGAAAAGTTGAATTTGTCGACATGTTATCTGTGGTGTCTTTGAGACTTATAACGAATATACATGTCTCAGTTCACCGGACAGTGAATGGGTACCCGGTAGGGTGAGTTTAAAATGTAAAGGTTGTACGACAAATTGGGTCGTATATTCCCCAGGGGGAGATACTGAAGTAGAAGCATCAGCTTGACGAATGGAAAGTCGCTCCTTATTATTCCATGCCATGTTATTGAATGTTGATAGTGACAATGGGGGTAGAAGGAACGGGTGTGACAATCTAATGTACATGTGCCTTTTGGCGATAGTGAATTCAGTTGAAATGAGCTAGTACTGTTCACATATGTCCAGGTGAGCCGGCAACGTTTACGTACTGGGGACCTGGGGAGCCGAGTTTTTTCCACAACGTTGAGGACTGTGTGGCTCTAAAGGTGTCGAATTCAGGGCACTGGGCTGACTTTCCCTGCGAGCTGATTTCCGATGCTTTTGGATCTATCTGTCAATACGGTTAGTACGTTCTGCCAACTGTTAAATAAAGACATGAACCCAGAGGCCACCTTTTACAACCAACAACCCACTTCCAATGACATATCCTGTCATCTGACAACCTACCACCTACATCCCATGACATATCCTGTCATCTGACAACCCAAATTCCATGACATATCCTGCCATCTGACAACCGACAATCCACTTCCAATGACATATCCTGTCATCTGACAACCTACCACCTACATCCCATGACATATCCTGTCATCTGACAACCGACAAATTCCATGACATATCCTGCCATCTGACAACCGACAACCCACTTCCAATGACATATCCTGTCATCTGACAACCTACCACCTACATCCCATGACATATCCTGTCATCTGACAACCCAAATTCCATGACATATCCTGCCATCTGACAACCGACAACCCACTTCCAATGACATATCCTGTCATCTGACAACCGACAACTCCATCCCATGACATATCCTGTCATCTGACAACCCGAATTCCATGACAAATCCTGCCATCTGACAACCGACAACCCACTTCCAATGACATATCCTGTCATCTGACAACCGACAACCAAAATCTATGACATATCCTGCCATCTGACAACCGACAATCCACTTCCAATGACATATCCTGTCATCTGACAACCGACCACCTACATCCCATGACATATCCTGTCATCTGACAACCCAAATTCCATGACATATCCTGCCATCTGACAACCGACAATCCACTTCCAATGACATATCCTGTCATCTGACAACCGACAACTCCATCCCATGACATATCCTGCCATCTGACAACCGACAACCCACTTCCAATGACATATCCTGTCATCTGACAATCGACAACTCCATCCCATGACATATCCTGCCATCTGACAACCGACAACCCACTTCCAATGGCATATCCTGTCATCTGACAACCCAAATTCAAAGACATACGCTGTCATCTGACAACCGACAACCAACATCCCATGACATATCCTGCCATTTGACAACTTACAACCCAAATCCCATGACATATCTTGTCATCTGACAACCGACAACTCCATCCCATGACATATCCTGCCATCTGACAATCGACAACCCACATCCCATGACATATCCTGCCAACTGATAACCTACATCCCATGACATATCCCACCTCATTCAACCAACATCCCACCTCATACAAAGTATATCCCATATTATAAAACCCACATCTGATCCCTACGACCCAGATCTCACTCCGACAACCCACATCCGTCCTCCTACAACCCACATCCGTCCTCATACAACCCACATCCGTCCTCATACAACCCACATCCCACTTTCAACATTCCACTGGCACCATCATGCCTGAATCCACATTGAGGATGATTGGTGGTGAACATGGTTTAAGTGTGGAGGAGAGGATCGAAATTTCATCATGTGGCCTGATTCTCCTACGACAACAAAGAAAAAGTGTCTGTCCGAGCTAAAATTGATTTGTTAACCTGAAATCTAAGTATCTCCGAAGCAAAATGCTGCATTTTGTTTCCCTCTTTCACAGACATGCTTCCCAAACCTACCGATGACCCAGGACTGATCCTAGGTGCGGCAACAACTGGTAAGGACCTGCGTTTCGTATTTACCATCACAATATTTCTTTATGATGTGAACGTCCCTGATCGGAATGTTTACACAAAGATCTAGCACTACATCGCATGTGTCCAGCTGAAGTGTGCTACATACTAACAACACCGAACCACTGTCCCTGATCCGCAGATATGTTTCCCAAACCTACCGATGACTGCAAGGTCCACAGTGTGGTGGCCTACCTTTGGGTGCTGGCGATCTATAGCCCATTTTAAATGTACAGTTATTAGTGGTAATAGTTTAAATGTTAGATACTAGTTTTAAATTTTATATCTGTGATACTTTTTTCAGGTTTTATATTGTCTGAAATTGTGCTTTTAATGAGCACTAATAGTACAGTTACAATATGGCTGAAATATTGCCAACGTGACTTTAAATTTTAACCCACTCGTTCACTCACTTCCGATTACTGTGGACTGCTCATAGGTGATCATCAGCCCTCATCCAATAACCTTACACTGAACTCAAACTAGTTTTAATCCAATTGTGATATTCTAGTCGTTATACTGTCCTTCGCTGGCAGGTTTTTAAATTAGTATACATATGTTTATTCTTAGTACATAACTTTTTGTCGTCACAATATGGCTGAAATATTGCCGATGTGACGTTAAATATTAACTCACTCACTCACTCACTCATCCAATAACCCCAATCACGGGGATGACAAGACTTTATGGATGATCAACTTCTTTATTTTGACAATGGCGACGTTTCGGTGTAGATTCTTAAACCGTTTTCAAGCATATGGGGGAATGAAGGGGTACACCAGTCTATATACAAGAGATAACAATAACGTGGTGGGGATACAAAGCATCAAAGAAAGTTCCATGATGAGCTACAATAGCATGGTGATGAGCTAAGATAACATAATCACCTCAGTGCAACCAATAGCAACACACATATTTGGAAATATAGGCAACTCATATCAACAGCCAATGAAAGCGGCCTCTACTGTACGATTCTGATTGCATGATGATGATGATGATGATTTGGAGATTCAATGTACGCTTTCCGACACACTGCTTATTTCGCACACGGGCCCATCAGGCCATTTAGTGATTGATCGTGAAGGGGGCGTTAGTGTTGCATAATTAAATTTGTATGAATCTTGAATTTGCAAATTTGCCAGATGATTCTGACTGCAGCTTTAACGTAGGCTTATAAATTCACTATCAAGCTTTTATCAACCCTGGTGTCATCCGCCACAAAGACATTCAAGCCAAGCGTTTGACTGAGCAAACACGGAAACACACCGTGTTGGTCCAAATAGGGAAATACATAATTTCGGTCACCGATCTGATGAATAAGTTCACGTCCTCCAAACATCTACCGTTACTACAATTGGAAAGCTATTTATTTGCTTTTTGAAATCTTTGAAGAAATTGCATGTTGGATTGTAAGTCAAGTGTTTTGAAATGGCCCGATCCGCTGGACAATTGTTCAACGTAAAGCGAAAGCTGATTATTGGAAGTCTTTTCTCTTGTCATCCAGTCTTGTAAATATTATGTGTCAATCTGAATCTATATGCAGAAACAGACGAGGCGGTTTCGCGGTTCTCTTGTATTTAAGGTTTATTTATGCTACCAGTTCAATTACTATTTGACCGGTATTAAACGATATCTAAGTCCCAATCCACAAAATATTCGCAACGTCATCCGTAAGCTTATGGTAAACTATAGAGTTACGACAGGTCGTAACGTTACGAACGCTTTGTGGATCGGGACCCTAGGTCAATATTATTCCTGTAGATTACGTTCAACTGCTCTGACATATTTCCGTGTTTTACTTTTGCCAACCTGAACAGAATTCCTATTCACGTGCAGAAACAAATCATCAAACAGCATGAGAATGCTTAATTCTTGCCTAAAGCACATAGCTCATTTCCGTGCGGATGTTTGTGTGCAACATCAAACCCTATGCCTATTAGAGCCTTGTTTTGTTTGTTTGTTGTTTAACGCCGCACTCAGCAATATTCCAGCTATATGGCAGCGGCCTGTAAATATCGACTCTGTACCACACGTACAGGGTCGCGTTTTCACAAAAGAGACACTCAGTACTACAGGCACAACGCGTGGTTCACTACAGTTGAAATGGGCAGATGCGTCAGATTAATACTGGCCAGCATGGTGTTCGTCCATATTAACTACCTTGTATCACCCATTTTCCAAATACTTCATTAAGTTAAATGTTTTGTTCAGTATAACTGGAATATTGCTGAGCGCGGCTTTAAACAACCAACAAACAGACATTTTCTTTACTTTCCATTGATGTTCCATCTGCGTAACGTTTATTTTTGGTTCATGTTCCCAGATAGGACTCCGGTAACACATGCTAGCGCCGGACCTATTACGGACTTTATACAAACAACTGTTGCACCGGCCGTCAACGAAACAAGTAATCAAGCCGTAGTCGGTTGACCATACATCGCCCTCTTACACATTCAAGCTTGTGCGTCATTGAAAAATTAAACAAATCTTGATATTCTTTTCTCCTGGAGATGTGTTTGTTGTGTGTTTTAGTAGGTACATTCGTATGGTGATGAGAGTTATTTTAACAAAACTATGGTAACGTTTTAGTGTAAATGCAGCTAGGAGAGTAAAATAGGCACACGCACGTCGACTCGAGGGACTCGAACGACGGCAAGATTTGTTCTGTCTTGTAAATAAACAAGTAAATAGTGCAGAGCCTTAACCGCGCACGTCTCACTACCTTGAAAGGCCCAACAACCGTTCGCTGCATTTAGGCTGTGTACCGTAGTAATTCTAATTGAGGTTCCTGGGATTGCCAGTGAGTGAATATGATCTTAAGCTGTTATTTGCTGTATTGAAGCCATACCACAAAGAGGGGCAATAAGAACGAACTTCACATAATCGAGCAAACGCTTTAAGCGGTAGAGCCCAAATAAACTCGACGACCAAAACGCATTAACAACTGAGCTTCCACCAGTATTAAAAAGCGAACACGGATGGTAAGCGAACATTTCAACAAGAGAGAAGGTGCATGTAGGCTTCAGTGGCTTCTGACTATTATCTGGAAACAAGTTACGGAAATATCAGTCCTCATTCGTTGGTGGAATGTGTTGGAATGATTGACAACTTTTAGCAATATTCAATCGATATGGCAGACAGGAGACACAACAAAATGCTTCACACATTGTATCCATGTAAATATTTGAGTGAGTGAGTGAGTTTAGTTATGCGCCGCACTCAACAATATTCCAGCTATATGGCGGCGGTCTGTAAATAATAGAGTCTGGACCAGACAATCCAGTGATCAACAGTTTGTAAATACATGTACTTGAACCTTGACTACATCGTAACGAGTGGACGCTATTGACGCCACCTCCATATAGCCTCCCGAGCTTCCCTTACCAGATTTCAAGGGGCATGTGCGTGAAGAACCCGGACATGTTCCAGGGGATATACGGTACTGCTGGAAGTTAAAATGGGACATCAGTAAACAAAACATAATTCGGAATATTTCCAGCTCATCAGTTGTTTCGTTCGGTTGCTTCCTGAATCAGGTGAGATACGCAATACTTTCAATAAGCAGCAACACGTCTATTTCATACTATATACGTAGGCATTGTATAACCGCGGACTGGAAAGTGTGTAGAGATAGGACTTCCGCATGGGTTTCCTAATTGTCCATACAAACTAGAAGCGCTAAGCGTATTCACTCTACCGAACATCTGAACGCACACTCACCTGGTACGAAAACACATACAACTTTCTCAATTAACTCATATCACTATATTCTAATTTACAGCAGAATTATTTTACGTTCTCTAGACTGTTTGTTGAATTCGGCAATACATGATTCACAGACGAAAAGGCATATCGATGAGCTTTTTCATATTTGAGATGAGGCACGGGATTTAGGAAGTCTTTTTTCGGATTTTTTTCAGAAATGATGTGACTTGAGGTTTAGCAGCACAGCGTTATTTGATGGCAATGCTTAATGTATTTGGGAAATGTGTTTCACAGACAAGCAGTGTATGGCTTGTAGCAAGTGCAGACGAATAAATACCAGATGACACGACAATAGATAATGGGTTGTTTTCCTTTTCAATAACTGTTCAAATAATCTGTAATGAATTCAAAATATTGAAAACCGTTGAAAAGGTTTGCGAGAGTGGCTATCTAAAAATACCGTTGGTTACGTATCCGAAGGGTTCCGTTAGTATTGATCCTTGGAATTGCGTGTGGTGTAGAACATAAAGATAGACCATTATCAACGGTTTAGTTTCCTGAAAAGAAAACAATATCTATTCCCCTTAAAACCTAAATATAAAGAACATATCCAGTGAACGAGATACCTTTTGGTGTAAAATCGGAGAAAGTATGCTATTATTCCACATTTTCAGTATTCCATATGTTGTTATTCAGTGACATGCATACACAACCCCTAGTCCCTATTCCGATGAAAACTTTAACTTTAGATGTAATTTCCAAACGTTTCCGGTTACATTTTAAACTTTAAACTTTAAATTTCAAAGGAATTAAAAGGTTGACCTTGGCCGCATACTTCTTTTAAGCATCACATTAATAATTTTATGGAATATATTTAACTCTTTGAAATATTTTGTACCATAAACACTTTTGAGATATTGTCCCGTCTTAACAAAACCTTGAAATACATTTGTCTGTCCTCTAGTGACACCTTTTGCGATATTTTAATTTCCTAAAGTGAATCGTTTTGAAATATTATTCTGATTTAACGTGAAACCTTGGGAACTTAAAGTAGTACGTTTAGAAGTATTGTTCCCGTCTGAAATTAAATCATATTAAGATATTTCAATTGAGATATTTTCTGCTTAAAGTTAATGTTTCAATTAAGATATCATTTTTTCACTTTACTTTAACCGAATCCTTCAGAGATATCAGGCCGTCTTAACGTGAATTCATTTGAGATTCTGTCTTAATATGCATGAATCCTGTTAGATAACTTCCCATCATCAATCTGAGTGCAAGCAGTATTGTTCTGTTCCTTTTCGACCCGTGAAGATCCGGGTTAGAATTGGTCTTCAGTAACCCATGCTTGTCGTTAGAGGCGACTAACGAGATCGGGTGGTCAGACTCGCTGACTATTGTTGACGCATGTGATCGTATCCCAATTGCATAGATCGATGCTCATGATTTTGATCACTGGATTGTCTGGTCCAGACTCGATTATTTACAGACCGCCGCCGTACAGCTGGAATATTTCTGAGCTAAACAACCAAACCAATCGTTTCCTTTCAGACTGATGATTCGCTAAGTTTGAGTGGCCCTCTGGAGTATGAATCATGGTCCGTACACTCCGAGTCTGCTATTTCTTCCTGAACATGCTCATTCTCATGTCCCTGGTAATGATCATAATACTGATGGAGACAGACATAGTCCCACCCCACTTCTCCACACGATACTACATCTCCAGCCGGAAGCGTCAAGTGGACATACAGCCATTCTGTTTCCATCACGCTATGACGTTCACGACGCCGCTGCAGATGACGGTTCAAGTGGAAGCAGGACACAAACGACGTTTATCTACCAGAGTGACAACGACACGTTCCTGCCGTACGTGTCTCCTGCAATGAGGAGTCAGTATGGTGGCTTCCAGAGAGTCGGGGGCATGCAGGAAGTGTTTGTGTATTCAGCGACCTTTGACCGCCGTGTTACGCCACCTGAGGTAAAAGCAGTGGTTATCTCCCCTGGCAGATTGCTGAACCTGACGTTTCACTGTGTTTTCGGGTCGACAACGTCCGGTGCGTTCCATGTCCATGGGGATTTCAAGTTTATTCCTGAACCAAAATGGAATTACACGTATGTAATGCATAAGAATGAATGAGTGAGTATGGTTTTACGCCGCTTTTAGCAATATTCAAGCAATGTCATGACGGGGACTCCAGAAATGGGCTTCGCACATTGTACCAATGTGGGGAATCGAACCCGGGTCTTCGACGTGACGAGCAAACGCTTTGACCACTGGTCTACCTCTAGGACAGAGTGAATCGGGACAGTATTTAGGTTATATGACAGTGTGTCAGTTTGAAGCGTGAGTAAAGTCAGAAGCGGAGCACGTCTGAGTGAAAGAGTGAGTGAGTTTAGTTTTACGCCGCTTTTAGCTATATTCCAGCAATATCACGACGGGGGACACCAGAAATGGGCTTAACACATTGTACCCACGTGGGGAATCGAACCCAGGTCTTCGGCGTGACGAGCGAACGCTTTAACCACTAGACTACCCCACCGCCCCCTGAGTGAAAGAAATGAGTACAGATGTCTGAAAATATTAGAAACATCATCAGGGCGAACCGTAATTCCAACCCATGATAATCAGTAGTACGCCTAAGGGAGTCCTGCATTCTCAGTTCATTCACTTCTTATGTTATTAGGGAAGATTTGTATTTAGTACTGGATCTAATTGAAGGATAGACTGAAAGAGTAATTTACCAACGGCAATAATACATGTATGATTATTCTTTATGCGACAAAGTATGATATGTATTACCGGTACTTTAAATAGTTTAGTAGGATATTGAAGATTACTGGTATACTAGTAGTAGTAGTAGTAGTAGTAGTAGTAGTAGTAGTAGTAGTAGTAGTAGTAGTAGTAGTAGTAGTAGTAGTAGTAACAGCGGTAATAGTGGTAGCAGATGCAGTGGCAGCTGCGGTAGTACTAGTTGTTGTTGTTGATGATGATGATGATGATAATGATATGATGATGATGATGATGTTATTGTAGTGATAGAAGTGGTGTTGCCGGTAGTAGTGTTGGTAGTAGTAGGACACAGACAGATGTAACTGGCAACATTTAAATCACTTTTTCCATGTGTTCAGTTACAGATCCGGTGTAGTTACCTGCCCTCTACCACACCACGGGGTTCGACCCAAGACTTTATCCCTGGTCGCACCTGGTGTCCACGAAGCTCTTAATGTGCTACCCATCCGGTACCCGCCACACCCGACATACAACCTGACTCGCTGCTACCCAGCCTTTCACAGCACATTCAATGAAGTGTCAACCTTGATCTCAAACATAGAAATCAGCCGAGTGTTGGGTGTGGAGAGATTTATTTTCTATAACTATGATATGAACGACACAGTCAGTAAGGTCTTGCGACAATATCAACAAGAAGGCATTGTGGAGGTGCGCAACTGGTACCTGCCCATACCCCACGAGTCTATACACTACTGGGGCCAACTGGCAGTCATACATGACTGTCTCTTCAGTCAAACTGGTCTGTCCAGATTTGTCATCTTTGCAGATGTAGATGAGTTTGTTATACCAAGAAAGGTTACATCCATCGTCCGTCTTGCCGAGTCCCTTCTCTTTGACAATAGCTTCACGGGTAAATTCTTCGGTGCTCTGGCTTTTAGGAACGTATTTTTTCCAGCAATTCTTCCTGAAACAAACCAGATTTTTCCCCAGAGATCTGCAGCAAAGGCGTTCAACATCGTCCCCCTACTCCATCTGACCCATGCACAAGTCCACCGGGCGTATGATCGCTCCAAGGTCCTGGTGATTCCTGAAGCTATTGAGTTGCTCTGGATCCACTCAGTGGAGAAGTTCAAGGAGAACTGGATCCCCAGGGTGGTTGACGGGGACGTTGCGCTGCTCCATCACTACCGCTACGTCCCCTTCCCCGACATGAAACATCCTTGGTATGACGATCAACTTCTTCTCCGCTACAGTTCCCTTATTGTGTCAGCTGTACGGAGGAGATACTCCAGGTTAAGACAATTGGGCATGTTGTAATATCATATTAATAATAATATCATATTGATATTAAGTTATGATATTAGAGCAATCTACAAAATAAAGATTGAGTTTTTGTTTCAAATCATTGATAAATCCTTAAAACTGAAGGATGGTGAGTCGTTAGCCTTGCAATAACATGGTCCTGGTATTTAATCGAATCTGGACCAGACAAACCGGTGATGGTCAGGATTAGTAAAGGTACACGTCGTATGAGCTGCTACTTGCTCATACATAAACAATTTATCATCATATCCGATTATCTGGTGTATTTAAATATATCCATGCCTCGTTCGCTTACACAGTTCTGTTGTAACCCCATGCGTATGACACATCATTTTAAACAGCGGTCCAATGAAACTACTCAAAATAGCGAAAACTATTCTGTGCTACGAAAGCGATGGGGTGCTAATGTTACTTTCTTAACGAAGTTATGATATTGGTTTTGTTCTTGTTTGTTTGTTGTTCAACGTCGCCCTCAGCAGTAGTCGAACTATATGACGGCAGTCTATTAAGTAATCGAGTCTGGACCAATGACTGACAGCATGAGCATCGACCTCCGCAGTTGCATTGGGATACGACGACATGCATCAACCAAGTCGGCGTGTCCGATCACCCTATCCAGTAAGTCGAGTATAATTACCTGGATCAAGAATTCCATGCAAATAACTGTTAACGCAAAGTTTTTGTTCGCGACAGAAAATGTTTACAATCAGCACTTCATACAATTTTATCTATGAAACGGAGAATATTTAGGAAACTAATTTGTGAAGTGTTTAACATAATAGAAGCGCTCGTAAAATTCCCAGAACTCATTGTGGTTTGGGCATTTCAAAAAGCATTGCGTGTCATTTGGACGTAAGATATTCTACCCTTGGGCGCGAGTTATCGATTTAACTATAAAGCTGCCTGGTCGCTCCAACCCTAGATGAGGTCTTACAGGTGACCTAAAAAACCGTAAACTGTAATCTCATGTAGGGGTTTTACACGAATAACCCACACAAATAACCTACTCAGTCCGAGCCGACCTGTCCTAGTTGTATGCCTTTATTGTCGTCCACCAGGCAGAGGAATAACAAGTGTCATATTGGTATAGAGGTCCAGGGAATAGAACTGCTCTACAGGTAGACACTGTATGAGTGGTAGCAGCATTGTTGGAAGAAGTCGTAAAGGTAGAGGTGGCTATTGTGGACGTAGTGGTAGTGTCTTTGTTTGTTTGTCGTTTTACGCCGCACTCAGCAATATTCCAGCTATATGGCGGCGATCTGTAAATAATCACGTCTGGACCAGAAAATCCAGTGATCATGAGCATCGATCTACGCAGTTGGGATACGATGACCTGTGTCAACCAAGTCAGCGAGCCTGACCACCCGATTCTGTTAGTCGCCGTTTACGACAAGCATTGGTTACTGAAAACAAGTTCTAACCCGGATCGTCCCAGGTTAGTAGTAGTAGTAGTAGTAGTAGTAGTAGTAGTAGTAGCAGCAGCAGCAGCAGCAGTAGTAGCAGAGCTTCTTGCTGAGCTTCTGCGCAGCTGCAATAGCGTACTTCCGTATCGAGGTAAACATCGTCTACTACCACATTTACGCTTGACATCGGGACATTTCTACAAGGGACTGGCTTTTAATCACTCAAGGTAAGTAAATAACAGTAACTGACAGATAAATTGACAGTTTTATGAAAATTCGTTTTCATCGGACTTTTAAACCTCTTTCTTTATTATATATAATTGGATTTAATATGAAACACTCTTCCATACATTGATGAAGTGAATTTTTAAAATGATCTGGCCCTAATACGCTTCCATACTTCGGATCTCCAACTGGATGTTATGCCCATCAGTTGCTGCGCAGAATTACCGGACAGCAAGCGATGTCGTCAGAGCGCCGGTTAGGTCAACCGTATGGCATAATGCAACGTTAGAATCTTATAGTCAATAAAACTTATATTTCTAGGTAAATATGCATACCAGCATGTTTAGTTACGTAAACCACAAAAAATAAGAGACGTTAGTTGCCGTGTTGCGATCGATGTGCTTAGGTGCGCGGAATTACCGGTCGGCAGTGTAAGTAGTGATCGAGTAGGCAAGGTATTTAAATCACACTAAGGCGTTGTTCGAACACGGTGGTGACGGCCAATAATCTTACTTCTCATTGAAAGCCACAGTCATTGGATTCGGGCATGGCTAAGGGAGACAATTCCCATGAAAATGTCGTTGAAGAGACACGTTCGTTTCTTGTCCCCATCTCTGAAAGAATACGCTGCTTCTTTGTCCACCATCGATAGTCAAGTATGGATAACAATGATACTGAAATTGTATGGTTTTGCAATACTGTCGTACTGAAATGTGCCAAAATATATCAACGTTTACACACGCTTCATGTTCTCACTGTATACTCAGCTATATTCATCTACAAAGCCACAGTCATTTCTGTTTAGCCTGTTACATTCGGTGGTAATTTGGGTTGTGTAGGGATTGGAGGAGTTGCCCCCCTTATATTGTATATGCCTGGCGGAAACGACACATCATGCATCAAGAAAAGACTTATATTATACATTTAATACCGTTAATCTCCAATTTAAGTTATGCGGTACTTGATACTTGAATGAAATGGACTTTGTACCCAAGAGGGGAATGAGGTGCAAACGCTTTTACCACAACGCTACCACGTTGTGCCATGAGGTGAGGTGAGGTGAAATTGGGTTTATCGTCGTGCTTGAGAATATTTCGCTCATATGACGACGTGCATGCGTGTGTATGTGTATGTGCGGCTGCTTGTACTAGTCCAGACTTAAGCTGGTTTTATAGTGCTAGCCCACTGAGATACCATGCCGCAGTGAAGCATGAATACCCCACTCAGACACATTATACTGACTCCGAGCCGACCAGTCCTTGTTGTACCCATTAATGCCGAGCGCCAGGCAGGGACCAACAAGTACCATATTTTAACGTCTTTTGGTATGACGCGGTCGGGGATCGAACCCGCGACCTTCCGCTCTCCGGGCGTTGTGCCATGTGGTGAAAAGAACTTCAGCATTATACATTAAAGACCGCTAGGTTCAGGATCATTATTCAAAGTGATTTCGTGTTTGGTGATTCCAACCTTGAACTTTGGTGTGGCGATCGAACGCGTTAACCCCTGGGCTACCTCAACGCCTGCATGTTTTGAGAGATGTGTACTGTTGACGTTTTTCACGCGGTGCACCTATCCACTACAGACAAGGGGCCGAGAGATTACTATAGGCACGAACGCTGAGATTTCCTCCCCGACCAGCGGATCCAGCAAGGGCTACGGGAAGTAACACTGTTTAACAGTGTCCCTAGTGACTCAAAGAATGTATCAGTGCCTGAGTATGTATGGGTTTACGTCACTTCTAACACTGTTAGTTTCACAACATGCCAACGTAATGTGCAAGGGACGCTTAAAGCAACTCATCAAATGTTTGGTGCTGGTAAACATCAGCTCAACATATCATACTCAACACTGAGTGAGTGAGTATGGTTTTACGCCGCTTTTAGCAATATTCCAGCAGTTTCCCGGCAGGGGACACCAGAAGTGGGCTTCACACACTGTACCCATGTGGGGAATCGAACTGCGAGTTTTCGGCGTAACAATACTCAACACTGGGCGATATGGGCCCCTACACTGTATGTAGAAGTGAGTGAATATGGTTTTACGCCGCTTTTAGCAATATTCCAGCAGTATCCCGGCAGGGGACACCAGAAATGGGCTTCACTCATTACATCTATGTGGGGAATCAAACCCGGATCTTCGGTGTAACGAACGAATGCTTTAGCCACAAGGCTGCCACAGATCATGTCTACACAGAAACATGGCCCCTGTTCTATTAAAAACCACCACAAGGCCATTCCCCGAACCAGATGTAAAACCAGAACTGATTCAGATTTAAGAAACACAGCTGTCTGATTATATGGTTCCACTCACAAATTACTAAAAGAACGATTTCATACGAAAATAAACATAATTTATTGCACCGACGAATGCAATCACGCGATACGTCACGTGATCAAGATCCATACTTCTCCCTCAATCCATGCAAAGTGCTTCTTCGTGCACATCCATTTTTGACACTTTAATTTCTCGCACACAAGTCAGCCATGGCCTGTGACAAAGTCCATTTACTAGCGGGTCACTTCCTGTCCCATGGATCCGTTCACCCTACAGTCATTCTCTGAATACACTCATACTACTTAGGGGTCTTTGCTCGTCTCTGTTCCTTGACCGTCTCTCTTCTTTGACCAATCGGAACGTGAGTATCTCTGATGTCATAATCCACTTGCGTCACAATGACGTCACAATTCCAAATTCAGTTCCACGCAGCTGCCATGACGTTGCACATTATACCCACTGCCCGCACACTGACAATTCAATGACGTCAAAAAGTACGTCAGTGTGACGTCAATGCTGACTTTTGCCCCAACACTTGTCTGGTCAGTTCTTCGAATGCCTGAAATTATAGGAAAGACGTCGATTTAATAAAGCGTACGACCCGTGCGTGATCAACAAGGATAAATAGTATCTGGTACATTTTATATCTTCCTGATCTGTTTCTGCAAATGCATTTGTAGCCAGAAAGTCAGTTTGGTTCAAAGCGCTACGACTGTTTAAAGTCGACGTTAAGGTATGGGAGTTACGACAACCTAGTGATACGACTGTGGTAAGACTTTGTTAAGGAATGGGAGCTACGATCACCTCCGTGCTATGACCGTCAGTCTATGTTAAGGAATGCGACTTACGACCACCTTAGCGATACGACTGCCTTGAGTCCATGCTTAGGTACAGGAATTACGACCACCTTAGCACTACGACTTTCGTAGGTCTATGTTGAGGAATGGGTGTTACGACCAGCTTAGCGCTAATATCGTAAAAGTTACCAATTTCAAGAAGTATTTCAGGACTGCATTACACGTCTCTTTTGACCTGATATAGTTATTGAGGACATATTACCCATTGAATGTATTTTTTTTAAAAGAATTCCGTTGCCCCTCACACTCTGTGCCTCATTATCCCATTCTGATCCTGCTAAGTTATACATTCAAAGGTGAATTAAAAACACGCTCAGTTTCAGACTCCCCGGTACTGCCCAGACTCAACAGCCGCTGTGGACATCAGGTCGCAGTTACGTATTTCTTACGTATTCCTCACAATGAACAGAACAAAGATAGAATCATTTATACAGATCGTGTCCACTTACATCAATCTCCGCCATGATGCTAGGGTTGACCTCTCGTCGTGGGGAGCTGGGTTCGCCCTCAAACGACGATGATGACAAAGTCGGCCCCGCACTGTAGGACCGGGTCATCATCTCAGCTCGTGCAGCAGACAACCCTCTGTCCCGAGGGGAGAGGCGGGCCACAGGGGGTGAAGCTGGGAAGCTTGTCACCCTCGGGGAGGATGGAGAGCGGGGGGAGCGGGGCGAGTAGGAGGACGCGGGGGTGGAGCGCCCGGAGAGCGGACTCTCCGGATCCTGGGAGCCGAGGTGTGACACGTCGCTTGATGACGCCATTGAAGTCAACTCAGCAGAAGACGAAAAACTAATGGACGAAATAATGTCTGCTGTATGAGTTGTCAAGTCTATCATTTCTTGGCTCTGGTTCCCAGGACTGAGTTCCGGGTCATCTGGATTGTAGTCGTCAATATGTAGACTCTGGCTTTTACGGGCGTTCTTCTTCCACCCGGCTTTAGCGAAGGTCCTGTGTGCAAGTCTCTGTACGCTGGCTTTAAGACTGTTGCTTCTTTGGACGGCCTGGTCGTCGGATTCAAAGGAATCTCCCTTCTTCAGAAGATCGCTCTCGGTCGGGACCTTGTGGAAGCCGAGTTTGGACGACTTGACGTTATTGTTGGTATGAACGCCCTCTTGGTTCAGGTTGATGTCAATCTCCTTCAACGTTGTCGACAGCTCCTTCAGCTGCTCAACCAACTGAGGATTCTTGTCGTCCTGAGATTTCTTCTTGCCAATCTTAAACAATGATTTCTTCTGCCCATTTTTGCCTCCGTCCCCAAGCTGCCTCTGAATAGCCTCCATCTGAAGACAGACAGTGAGTGAGTGAGTGATGTCCAATAACAACATTTAAACAATCACATGATCGATGTTTTGGTTCTATGTCGCTCCTAGCAATATTACAGTAATATCATAACGGGGACACCAAAAAACACGTGGAATCAAACCCGAGCATGACAACGACATAACCACAAGACTACCAAACCGCCCTTAAGACAGGATTACACCAACATATCTCAGTGTGGTTTCAAAAATATCATTGTTTTCTTTTAACCGTTGTCAGGAATACTGACGTTTAGGTCGACTGAATGTCATAACATAAGCTTGTGTTTCATGACAGTCATAACTGGCATATTGATAGACACCAGGATCTCTAGCCAGGCATACTGTCATGATAACGTTAGAACATTTATATAATTCAAGAAGACATATTCCTTAGTACTACGGTATTGCTCAGACACCGTGTGGCGTTTCACAATATTTTCTAAATAATAAAGTGTGTGAGTGAGTGAGTTTAGTTTTACGCTGCTTTTAGCAATATTCCAGCAATATCACGGCGGAGGACACCAGGGCTTCACACATTGTACCCATATGGGGAATGGAACGCGGGTCTTCGACGTTAGGAGCGAACGCTTCAACCACTAGGCTACCCCCCACTAAGCTACCACACCGTCCCTCAATACAGTGTGTGAGTGCTGTGAGTGAGTGAGTTTAGTTTTACGCCGCACTCAGCAATATTCCAGCTATATGGCGGCGGTCTGTAAATAATCGAGTCTGCACCAGACAGTCCAGTGATCAACAGCATCAGCATCGATCTGCGCAACTGGGAACCGATGACATGTGTCAACCAAGTCAGCGAGCCTTACCACCCCACCCCGTTAGTTGCCTCTTACGACAAGCATGGGTTACTGAAGATCAATATTCTAACCTGGATCTTCACGGGTTGTGGGAGGTTAGCCCAAACCGATACAGGTCCTCAACGTTTACTTCTATGATGACACCCACTAGTAGAGGCATGGTGCTGACAAACCGGAGCGAACTGGGATTCGAACCCGAGATCTTAGACGTTTCCCACTTTGGTGCTACCCTCGAACAAGGTATTGAGGTGACAAAAACAATTATAATTATCTGCGCTAATGAGGGATTCGAACCCACACCACCGGTTACTGACACACATAAGAGGCCTATCTCTACATAAGATAACTAACTCTGCATTGAAGATTCAAGCACCCACAAACACCGACATCCCCCTCCCCAGCCAGAGCTGTATCATTGAGCCTCCTCTCACCTTGATCTGTGTGGACAGTCGGCGTTGTTTCAGTCTGGTGACGGTGCTGATGTGATCCTCTCCTGTTAACTTCCCCGGCGTCTGCGACGACGTTTGGTTGAATACACCACTCCGACGACAAGGGTGGTCGCTCTGGGTGGCCTGGGGATAAACACGAGCGATATATAAACTCGTTAGACAAAACCGTGTCTATAATTCCACTGTGGACTCACTACAATGGTTCGTGTTTTCTTGTTTAGCGCTGCACTCAGCAACATTCCAGCTATATCGCTGCGGTCTGTAAAGAATCGAGTCTGGATCACACAATCCAGTGATCAACAGCATGAGCATCGATAATATACCATTGCTCGTAAGAGTACCAAAAACATGTGAAGCGGATCATCAGTGAAAGAAATATGAGACCAGGACTGACTGACTGACTGAGTTTAGCTTTACGCCGCATTTAGCAATATTCCAGCAATATCTAGGCGGGGGACACCAGAAATGGGCTTAACACATTGTGATGAGACCAGGATCTCGATCCACAAAGCGTTCGTGGAACGAATGTCTTAGCGCTACGAACGCTTTGCGGACGGACCCAGAAGTATAAACACTGAAAGCCATCTGAATTGTTGAGTAGAGTATGAATTATGTACCATGCGTCTCGCCGCTTGTTTCTTCTCCAGCTCTTCCTTCTGGCGCAGCACTTCAGCCAGCAGCTTCTGTTTGACGCTGCTACGTGTACAACTGGTGTCTTCCTGGCTCACTGAAACATTAACACAGTTACAACCTTCCACGTCATAAGCTTCGTATTTTCAACAACACGAAATATAACTCGAAAGAATGAGTAAGAGCTTTTCTCACAATCTTTAAGTAATATTTGCCCATTTCTGGTGTCCAACACCGTGATATTGTTTGAATATTGTTAAAATCGCCGTAAAATCATTATCTCACTCATTCGACATTTACACCAGAAATGGGTTTAAGAAACTGAACCAATGCGGGGATCAAACCCCGGGACTTCGTCGTGACGAGAGATACTTTAACCACTGGACCACACAACAGCATCTAAGAATCTCGAAATGTAACTGAAGACTGACTGCCTGAGTTTGGTTTTACGCCACTTTTAGCAATATTCCAGCAACATCACGGCGGGGGACACCAGATATGGGCTTCACACATTGTACCCATGTGGGGATTCGAACCCGGGTCTATGGCGTGACGAGCCAACGCTTTAACGACTAGGCTACCCCACCACCCCTGTAACTGAAGAAGTCTGAATCGTCTTGAAATAATAGTCGACGATCATCTATAAACAAACCTTGGTTTTCATGTTCATTGTCTTCGCTACTTTCATCTTCCGGAAGTTGCGCAGCTTCCTGCAGCCCATCGGACCATTCCTCCATCTCTTCACGTGAGTCAAAAGACAGGTAAAGAGGAATGTAATTCTGAAAGATAAATATAAAGGTTATATGCACCATCGACATAACACATATCATATACACTGGAATCTGTTGAAATCAGACTGTGACTAATTTTGAATTGTCAGTACCATATTAACTGTCCCACTATATTTTAAAACCGCTTATATAATTCGGTTACAAAGATAGTTGAAAAAGTGTTTCAATAACCTAAACAAATTCATTTCGGAATGTAAATATATGTAATACACAGCACTCCTCCCAAACAATTAAAAACTGAAAATGATTTTAAATATTCCCCACTGTCCTTTACCTCGTGTGATAAATGAATGACGAATCTCTTCCCTCGGAACTGGTCAATGAGTGACGTTACTTGGTAACCATGGAGATAGCTGATGTCGACCGTTACTTGGTCCTCGGGGGTTAGATAGCAGTACAGGTAAGCGCCTTTGACAATGTACCAGTACCTGGAATAGATCAAAGAGGATGCAGGTGAGCTGTAATCAACAGGTGGAAAAAACTCTGAGAGTCTGCGCCAGAACAGTACAGATTAAGCGGGTGAGTGAGTTAATTGGCTTTAACGCCACGTTGGCCAATATTTCATCTTGATATGGTTGGAAAGTCCAAGGTGAAGCTGGTGTTAGTTTTTACCTCTTCGGTGAGTGAGGGACTAACTGAATGTGTTTAGTTTTACGCCGCAATGTTCCAGCAATGTCACGACGAGGGACACCAGAAATGGCTTCATACATTGTACCCATGTGCGGAATCGAACCCGTGTCTTCGGCGTGACGAGCGAACGCTTTAACCACTAGGCTACCCCACAGCCCGCCTCTTTGTTGAATTCCATGAGCGTGGACATGGCGGCCGCTGACAAACTAACAAACATACTAAGGGCGACTGACTGACTGACTGAGTTTAGTTTTACGCCGCTTTAGCAATATTCCAGCAATATCACGGCGGGGGACACCAGAAATGGGCTTCACACATTGTGCCCATGTGGGGAATCGAACCCGGGTCTTCGGCGTGACGAGCCAATGCTTTAACCACTAGGCTACCCCACCGTACTAAGGGCGAACCTGGATGAACCTGAACCAATGATCAAAGGTTTCTGGTGTACCAAAGGGACTAAACTCTTTGCAACGAATAGGTCTGAATTCAAAACTACTGGATAACCCGCGCCCACTTCTCTCAGAAAGAAGACAGCATCACCAGTACCCGCATTAGTTGCAAAATCGATCACGAGAATTGACGAGAAACATAATCATGTTATCATGTGATCTATACACCTCACAAAACCCCGGAAACACTAAGACGCTAATGTCGCAGCATATCCAGTGTCTATCGTACAAAACAAACTGCCAGTAAAATGCGAATTCGCCAGCTGACCCAGTAATACGGTATGTTCCGCTTCTAAGTGAGTTCCGTTCCTAATGGGACCGCATTCGTGACGACTCACATGTTAAGCCCTCTGTTTCCCGTAGAACTCATTTGACTATCCCACACAAACTGCTGAATCTAGGCCGCTATATATCTTCATGAACAAAATTCTTCTGGACTCTTCTATCAAGACATATTGTTAATAGTGGGACAATATATAACGAATATTTTAGTTTCTTTCAGTTTCTTGGCAACCAACTTTTGTTTCCCTATCATGAGTTAGTGAGTGAGAGGCTTGACCTACTTTGAACAGAATAGAATAGATCTGGTCTTAAGAACAATATCAATCACTGGATTGTCTGGTCCAAATATCATTATATACAGGCAACCGTCATACAGTTGCGGTGTTAAACAACGCCCATACGCACACGCACACGCACACGCACAAACGAAGTGAATCAATTCGGAGACATTCAACACTTAATATCCACGTTGAAACTACCTTGTCCGATATTTATACAACATACATACTCAGTCGTACGTTCAAGGAATCAAGGAATCATGTTCATCATCACGATAATGTCGCATAAATATCACAATAGGACAACAGCGATTTTCCCAATGAGGAACTGAACAAAACAATCAACCCAAATATCAACAAAAACATAATAAAGAATGAGGACAATTTTATGGATATACAACTTCTTTATTCTGTATAGGCGACGCTATGACATAAATCCTAATGTCGTTGTCAACTTGAGCAAGTCATCACCACTTGCTTGACACCGACATTAGGATCTATGTCGTAACGTCGCATATACAGAATTAAGAAGTTGAATATCCATAAAATTGTCCTCATTCTTCAACTCACCTTCTAGAATGCCAATCAAAAGGATAAAACATAACACCCACATGGAGGTATAACGGGAAAATATAAGCAATACCTCCGCGAAAACATAGCAAACGGCATATATACAAAAATACCCTCCATGAACACATCACTGACATCTTGTACAAATACATAAAAACTATGAATATTAATTCTACTCACAAGTGACTATCGACCTGATTCCAATGGTGACCGATAACGGTGTTTCGTCTAGCCTCTAACAGTAAAAACAGGTTGTCTGGCACGGCTTCCTATCACGCACCTGTCCCAGTCTCTTACCCACAACTGTCTGTACGTTGTACTAAACCATGGAATGGCCTCACACACCATAGACATGTCTTGTTTATACGTAGGTCAGGTCGGACTTACACAGGCCCGGGATGTCGTAAACTACAGGCTGTTACACTAACCGACTGAACTAATGGTACTATAGTATACGTTATCACCTACACAAACAGGCGTGTAGGCAAATGAGTGTCAGTGTTGCATGCAGAGAACCGAGTTACATTTCACGTGAAATTGTTATTTTTATTTGCTTGGCTATAGGGTTTCAACGTCTTGTTTCACCACTAGTTATCAACAGGTGTGTGACTTCAGTGAGTGAGTGAGTGGGCTTTACGGCGCTTTTGACCAGTATTTCAGTCACATCACGTGTATGTCTGCTTCATGTGGGAAAGTAGTCCGCAGTGATACAGATCTCAGACGTTTATCATTTAATGAAAACCAAAAGTATGGGTTTACTGCTACCAAAGCTAGAAATTTAACGAGGGGAATTTGGGATTCGAACCCACGGTCATGTGATTTGGAGTAAGTGAATTGTGTTTTACGCTGCTTTTAGCCATAGTCCAGTAATATCAAGGGGGGGGGGGGCACCATAAATGGGCTTTACGCGGGTGGGGAATCGAACACCGTTCTTCGGCGAGACGAGCGAACGCTCTAACCACTGGGCTACCATGAGATTCGGACAGCTCTAATGGGATGCAACAGTGACTTGCGGCGTCTTAAACAAATAGACCACCCTCACAACTCGAATGTTTTACCAGTATTTAGTCCCATTAGCAAAGTATACTTGTTTTTTTTGTAAGATAAGATATACGAATGGCTCAAGTTTATAATGTGAGGTAGTCTAGACTTTAGTTGAATTAGTATTTTTTAATTTAGTCTCTAGGGTCGGGGAGACAAACTACTTGAGTCTCAGAGTGAGTGAGTGAGTGAGTTGGGTTTTACGCCTCTTTTAGCAATGTTCCAGCAATATCACGGCGGGGGACACCAGAAATGGGCTTCACACATTGTACCCATGTAGGGAATCGAACCCGGGCCTTCGGCGTGACGAGCAAACGCTTTAACCACTAGGCTACCCCACCGCCCCACTTGAGTCTCAGAAGCATTAACCGTTAGAAAGTGAGTTTAGGAGAAAGTAGACCCACTTATCAGTACTCTGCATTAACCGGTGCCTCTACACAGATGACACGGGAGATAGGGACCGGCTATTTTAGTAAAAGAAGCCACTAAAAAGCCTAATAACAAAGTTCGCGTTTTAATGAATGTGAATAAATCACATCCACGGCATAAGTAAGTCATGTTTAACAGGCCCACGTCATACAATGGGTATTTGCTGTCCCTTTATCTCGTTCACCAGTGCGGTTATCTATGTGAGTGTCAGTGATTCTACCGCTCTACATCATTATAGCTTGTAAGGCTTGTTAGGCTTGTTATTGTACATCGGCCCTTCCACAAAGTGATGTTAGCTCTACAGCTGCCCTTACACACACATTTTAGTTGGTTTTGTGGTTTGTTTTTTAAAGCCGACCTCAACATATATTCCAGCTATATGGCGGCTGTTTGTAAATATTCGAGTCTGAACCAGACAATCCAGTGATCAACAAAGTGAGCATCGATCTGCGCAATTGGGAACCGATGACATGTGTCAACCAAGTCAGCGAGCCTGACCATCCGATCCCGTTAGTCGCCTCTTACGACAAGCATGGATTACTGAAGATCAATTCCGGATCTTCACGGGTCAGCCAAAATAAAGTGAAGTATGGACAAGTTGGACTTAACGCCTCGTTGATGAGCATTTAAGATGCATTGCAGTGTGAGTTTAATGTGGGAGGGGGCGGTCGGGTTAAAGCGTTCGCTCGTCATGCCGAAGACCCGGGTTCGATTCCGTGTATACAGTGTGTCTAGCCGAAGTCTAACAGTAAAACCAGGTAGGTTGTCTAGCACGGCTTCCTTATCACGTAGTGTACATGGGATAATAATTTAATCAAGACACACAAACAAAAACAGGTTTGTCTGCTTCAGGGGACGATGAGGCTGCCAAATGATTAAAACGTTCGACCGTCACGCCAGACATTCGGGTTCGATTCCCCACATGGGTACAATGTGTTAAGCCAATTTCCGGTGCCCCCGCAGTGATGTTGCTGGAATATTGCTACACGCATTGTAAACTCACTTAACTGTCCTCAGACAATCAGGCACATAAATTCAATCGTAAACATGCGCATATCATCCAGAGATAAAAATACATTTCCCCTACGACACCTGATGTACGTACATCAACGACCGCGGACTTTCAATAAAGGCTGACCACAAAGCTGTTAGGGGTTCGTCCTATCGTAGGTAATCAGCAACATCAAGGTACCTCTTTCGCGAGGTGGAAGTTGAGTAAGTCTGTATCCATAAAATTGGTATTTGCCTTACGTCAGTAAGGAATCTGCTACAATAACAGAAGGAGAATGTGGAATGTTGACGTCACGGAAGTCCAAGTGTGGGACTTGAGTTGCAGCGGCGACTGGATGTTGTGATCAGAGCATCCTTTGATGTGAGCAGCTATATGCTCCTGCACGGGTTTACAGCATTCAAGTCCTCAATAAACCTTTCAAAATGTTTTACGGTGGACACGTGCAAGTTTAACGCATGGACGACAGGTGTGAGGCTGGTACCCTTCCCTGTTAAATTTTTGTTTGTTTGTTGTTTGACGCCGCACTCAGTAATATTTCAGGTACATGGAGGCCGTCTTTAAATAATAGATTCTGGGCCAGACAATCCAGTGATTAACAACATGAGCATCGATCTACGCAGTTGGGATACGATGACATGTGTCAACCAAGCCAGCGAGCCTGACCACCCGATCCCGTTAGTCGCCTCTTACGACAAGCATAGGTTGCTGATGACCAATTCTAACCCGGATCTTCAAGA